GATTAGGACGTTTGAAATTTCTTATTTGCTTTCACGGTAGGTTTATCTTCAAGGCCAGGAATCCGATCGTTGTGTTACACTAAAAATTCTCCAACTCTACGCCAAGAAGTAGCTATTTAGCCGCCATAATGTTTTGCATAGGAAGCTTGTCAGCCAAAGTCTGGTTCGTGAAAACTGATTGGTCAGTTACTCACATGTGTGATGTTATTGGCTGTAATCAATCAGCCAGTGATGTTGGATCGTTCGTATTGGTTTGTTACTCATGCTACGTAAACACCGATGGATTATCACGTGAGTTTTAACGCAAAAAAATTATATGTTATATAACACATTACATGACAATCGTTGTTATGTTTACATAATAAATCTCGCCTTTCGCAGCCTCCCTTTTCGACAGTGGCGCCTTTGTCAAAGGTCTCATAACAGCCACGACACAATTTCAGAATGATGGACGAACCTCACTGAAATCTAAATATTCTCATATTAACTAAATTCCAATTACAATTCAATCGAATTTTATTTCTAAATCCAGATTCATTGATGATTGCGAAGATAACGTTGACAAGCACATTGCCACACCATTTCACCTTTGAGGCTGTCTATCATCTAATATTTCAACAAGATATCACTGCTGAATCAAATATTGTCAGTGCCATAAGAAATGTATAAAGAACAGTATGGAAAATAAACATGCTGATGTTTGGGTATATAGGGTTAATGAGAGCGAACCAATTAAGAATACAAAGAAAAAGACCACGCACGACCTCAACGCTAATCTAAATTTCTTCGCGAGGTTTGGAAAGAATAGCGTAAAATGGATTGGCATTTCATTGGTGTTAATGTAATAGATATAACACCACAAGGCCACTTGGAGATAGGAAATGTTTTCTTCCGTAGTGTTCATTACTGCGAAGATCGCTTCCATATTCGAAATTGGTTCCCTTAACCATTCTAGCCCACTGAGATACCTCAGGCTCATGTGGGAAGACCCCAAATTGGACACACGACTGTGTCGCAACTTGATTAAGCAAACTATTCCCCTTAAGCACTTCACTTGAAAGCCTCATGCAATTATACACCAAATAATTCAGTTTCCAGTTACTTTGTCCCTTCCAAATCGCTTAATCGCTGCAAGCGTTTCTAAACACACATTTTCCTAAATGCACCGATGATATTTCCTATCGGTCTTTTCACAATAACTACAGTAGTGTATTCTACGGCAGTAAAGTAGAAAACTGACCTTTTCGTCTCCACAAATTGAACGATAACCGGAAAACACCTCGAGGCCTCGATAACAATTCACAGCTGCTCAGCATCACAGCTGATCCTGTTTAGTAACATTTGGAAAAGTTTTCAGGTAAGGAAGACAATAAGCCCCAAACACTAAGCGAAGGCCAGCTGCAAAAAAGTATAAATTTTGGAAAGAAATCTCAGAGAACATAGAAACGAAGGTGAGGGAGTATTCATAACCTTTCTGAGGTAAGTGATAATAAATTCGTTTTTAACGCCTTCTGTATTTGTAACAAGTTTGTGTTTACCAGTTTCAGACAATTTAGATATTTAGTCTTTGACACAATGATTTCTACGCGGAGAATAAAAGTTTCGCTGTTTATGAATAATAGCCGGATAAAAGAAAACCTCATTGTGTATTCTAATGTATTTCTTGAACTTCCACAATAAATTAAATTGGCAAACAAGGGGGCGCATCTTTTAGACATTTCGAGATTGGATTCCTGATGAAGGTTCTCATGGATACTTTTAGAAACTACGTCGAGTTATAAATGTTGGTTTGCTTGGTAAGAATACATTGATAATGGAAACAAAAACCACTAGGGAAGGCAACGATTGATAGTTCAGACGAAAAAGGAAAAAAAAAGTCGTGTTTAGATCATTATTTCTTTGTTCAACAAATTAAATAAACTCAAGTAAATTTAGTAAATTCTGACGAAGTAAGGCCAAATTTTAAAACTATGAACAACAGACGTCCAGGATTTATACCACTCGTGAAGCAGAGTGAAACGAAAAAGTACATGACTGCAGGTTACTGGTTATTATCGTTCTAAAAACAAAAAAAACTTTGAGAGTCATCATGAATGCCCTATGTTTGTAGATTATAGAAGGAGCATGGCTCAACATAGCTTTTCTCAACCTTAAATCATGCACATCTACCTTCCTGATTTAATTAATAAAAATATAACCTAGTTTGGCCTTACTCATTACACCATGCGTCGCCAAAATAAGATATTTTAAGGCGGAAAGTACAATTTCCCTCTGGAAAATAGAAGAACAAACGCCAAATGTCTGCAAATGTCTGTAATGCAAAGCTCTGTACCACACTTGTGGTAACATGTACCAGTGACTCAAAACTGAAAGAGGCTATGTCGACAATAGAGTTTCAAACTGACGTTTGATATGCACTGAACTTCTGCGACAAAGTAAAGCTTTAATAAATTCACACACCCCATGCACTCTAGATCGCTTGTTCTGCTTGTGACCACCCATGAAAAGAAAAAAAAATTCTTAATGTACACAACTCTGTACAACTTGACCTTTTCAGGTTGAATCTCCCACACTTGGAGTTTCCTCGAGTTGTTTTGTGCGTCAGCAAAGAATTTAGTTAACACTTCACTGCCTCTGCTGTGGACCAGACAGCAAATATGCACAACTGTTACGCTTCCCGATTACCTTGAACTTCAAATACTTTTTACGACTCGTGAAAAGAATTCAATGACTACTTCCTTCACGCTGTTACTGCAAACGTAAAACATTTTCAACTGCGCACAGCTCTTAGGCTTCCCAATGAGCTTAAAACCTGGAAAAAAAAACCCCCTCACACTGCCTCAAAAGGTTGCAACTCGTGCAACTCTTCAAATTCCAGTTCGACTGAGTAATAATTCTTTTCGCTTTAGACTCTGCACTAAATTCAGTTCAAATAAAACTCAACAAACATTCGAAGCATTATTCAATATGTTTAATTTACTGCAGGTAGTCTCTCCGATGGTAGGCTGTTTTCAGAGACATTCATATAAAATCGCATCTTTCTTTTATGCACCGGCTGTCACTGGCTGTAATGGGGTTAAACACAGTGATGAATTTTGTCGATGAAAGTGACTTCCATAAAAAAAGGGAAAAAGAAATCTTGACAGAGGATTCAAAGAGGGTACTTCCGGAGAAACACACCCTCGTTTCGGTCTACAACCGAAAACAATCTTGAAGGTATCAAAACTTCCCAGCAAACGCTTACAATTGTCCCTCTCTGTCCCTCATTTTCTCCTGGCATATTTATCCTAACATCGATATGCAAATTTTCCTTCCTGTTCTCCAAATATTTCTTATGGTACCAACAAGAATAACTTATTAAGCAATCATGAGATTCTATAGCAAGCGGTCATATCCTTTATCGGTCGACCTTAAAGTTTATTTCAGCCGCCATACTGTAAAGAGAAACATTTGTCACTCATTCGTAGAAGTCGAAGGGTTAATACTCATTTTCACTAACCATTCATTTATTTAACAGCCCACTACAAAAGAACAAAGTACAACGCAATGAAGAGCTCTCTCCTTCTAGTAATTGTATTGTCGATCATCATTTTAACAACCTTGACCGAAGTTGTTAACGCACAGTGCGGAGGTCTCAGTTCAGGGAAAAGAATAAAAAGATGCCATCGAGTGAACAACAAGAACAAATCAAAAGTCCGACGACACACAGAGAACACCAGAGTGGGACGCGATACATCAGAGGCAGCTTGGTTACCCAGTCTGGACGCAAACTTTTAACATCGAATTAAGTCTAAACGAAACGTATAAATTGTTCCATAACTTAAGAGTTGTGATGTTGATGTCTCTAATCATATTAAAGCTATCAGAAAGTTACTAATAACCCCTGTATAATCTGTTTTGCTTTCGTAAGAGCTGATGCCTCTGACTCTCCTGAATTTTTAAATGTCTCTGAGACAATTCTGTGTTGAACTTAGCAATCTAATCTGTTGTAAATTGTTGGGAAGAGATTTAAGTATGATGGACGGTATGCTTGAGAGAGTGTGACTTTGCTTACAAAATAAACAGTATCATGTCGCAGCGAATACGCCTACAATAAATTTAGCAGCATCATTGTTCTGAAATGGCAGGATTTCCCAAAAATTTCCTCACTAGCCAGGCCTTACTCCAAAGAACAAAATTCTGAGGTTAAAAAAATTCTTAAAGGGATTTTCCAAACCATTACCGAAAGCTGGGTTTCAGAATTTCCCCATAAACTTAATAAAGGAGATTGTCACCATACGCCCACTGTGTCAAACATCAGTCAATCCATCAAAGACACGTGTGAAAATCGTTCAACTAAAAGCAGGAAAAGTTAGTTTTAGAATGCTCTCAACGTGGACAGGCGGGGCTTAGATTATCGCGATCGAACCACTTAATTGCATGTTGATAGATATTTCAGTCACGAGTCATTAGGGCACTAACGTGTTTTAAAATTTTCCACGTGGTGCGTTTGTTTTGTTTTGTTTTGTTTTTTGTTTTTTTTTAAAAGACGAATCAAGAGCTTGGGAGACGCAGAGACGAGAGGATGGACAGGCGAAAAAAAAAAATGGTCATCTTTTGATCAGACAGCATATCATTCTCTCGGTAATCGGGCCTAAATCAGAAACTTGGTTTGGTTTTTCCACCGCAAGAAAATGCACAATAGGCACTACCTGGCAGTTTTTAATTGGCGTAAAGCAATGTGGTGGACATAGCCTGGGACCGAGGTTGAGTTTTGGCATCGAGTGTATTCAAGCTTGAAGTGCTGGGCCGCGCATAAACGATAAGCAAGTTTGTTATAGTTTACACTTATCTTTCGAGTAAACTTTGAAAACATTTATTTTAAGCACAAACCTAATAGTGTGAATCTCTTCAATTGTTGACGTACTGATGATAAACAACAACCGTGGGAACGGTTTATTGGCTGATTGATTTAATTTGATTAATTAATTCAATTAATTAATTCAATTATATTTTGTAGACATTGGCGATGGGAGCAAATTACTTTAGCGGACGAAAAAAACATACGATTTGAATCGCAGCGTTAAAATTTGATGAATTTTGCAACCGGAAATATGATAAACGCAAGATTCTATTTAGAACTGGTTTTATAGAATAACAGAGTTATTCCTTTTCTGTTGACTTTGCAGCGGTACTTACGTCAGTGCCCGCATTTCATCCCGCGATTTTAATATTTTCAATTTGTCATGGCATCAACTTGTTCAAAAGTCTTCATCTCCATATTTATCCATGTTAAGTAAACAATAAGAAGCACTCAACAGCGGTTTTGCTAAAAACCGCAAGGCCTTTAATTTGTTCCCTCTACACCGCAAATCCGGCCAGAATATAGGCTCCGTGTAACCTCTTGTTAGGAAAAAAGTGAGACTGCAGACAAAAGATGAACACTGAAAGGTATCAACGAACGGACGGGAGTAAGGACAGACTATCAGACAGACAAACAGTTATGCGGGAAGAATGAAAGAAAAAACCTCAAAAGATCATTATTCTCTGGGTTTTTCCCTTCGCTCAGGTGATTCTTGAAAGGGAGTGAAATCCTCCTACATCACAATTTGTAAATTTCTTCATTATACACTCTGTCTTTGCGAGGAATGCTACGTGTTTGGTGTCGCTATAAGAACAGCGTTTTCCAACGAAACGCTGGAATCGACATAAAACGCCAGTCTAGCATTAAATTCACATGACTCCAGATACCACAGACGCCCAGCATCTATGAGTCGTTTACAATGCCGCCCTATTTCTTCTCTCTCAGATATTGTGTAATTTGACCATCTGAAAGAGAAAAACGTTGATTTAGAGTTTTGTTTGACCTCTTTCAGCCTAGATTGGCGTTCTGACGACCGTTGTTGTAAAAGGAAAGGAAACTGAGCGAAGCCAAAGGATTTGGCACCCGTAAAAATTAAGATCAATTATATATCATCAGGAAACAGCAATGGTGCCCTAAGAAAATCACTTTTTGCAAATTAATCGCTAAGACATTCGCCGACTCTGTTAAGCCACCAGTATGCACGAAACTTATGTGCACAGCACTTTAAGCGAAGAAGCTTCTCGTCGTTAAGCTTGGAAACTTAACAACTAATGTTTAGTGTTTCCATATAAAGAGAGCTTTTTTTTCTTATATGAACGAGTCGCCCGATAGGTTAAAACGTTAAGGCTGCACTGGAGCCAAGTGGCTCATAGTCAATTAGCTGGAGCTCATTCCAGTAGCACATTCTGTAGCACATGGCGACCAGGTGAATAGCTACTTCCGTGAAGGAAACTTTATAATTAATTACAACAAATACAGAGAGACAGCTGTATATGCAACACCACACCACGAAATAAACTAATACCCTCGATAATTTCACTTTTAACAATGCAGAAAGCGCTTTGTTAGAGCAAGTGCATCTTTAAATAATCGCGCCTGGTAAACCCATGCCGAACGTGTGATTACCGATTTTATCGAGCTTTGGACTCCAACCTGCGACTTCAACGTTCAGAAATTCCGTTGCCGGTGGGAAAAGAATTTCAAGTAAGCTAAAACTGTACTGGAAAAGGGAATAGATATTTGGTACCTGTCTTCGTCATAAACCTCTTTTCTTTCTTCATCATTCTCTGAATTAATTTCTTGCGGAGTAATGTCTCCTATTGAGATGTCATGGCTGTCATCTCCCTCTCGGTCGTCATTCTCTTTGGAACGAGACGAAAAAAAAGTGGAAATAACAAATGCTATCAACACAGGGAAAAAACACCTTCTGTCTCCGTGTATAGCTCGATATATACCTTATAATACCGTTCTCTTCTTTTCGATGTGTAATGTAAGTTACGGATCCTCATTTCTAGCCATTACGGATATCCTGGGATCCACAACTCACAGTACAATACAAGAAGACAAACTTCACGAATTTATCAAAATATTTATCATATATCTCCTGACTGTGTGAAACGAATACTAATTCGGAGAATACGAGTTATTGCTTAACCCTTTCGCCACTGAGAGTGACTAGCGTCTAATTTCTCCCTTCTATATCACCTCTGAATCAAACATGAAAGTGATGAGAATAGAGGAGATGATCACCAACTAAAGCAGCTGTTGATTGTTACACAAATTCTCCTTATCAGCCTCTTAGGAAACGTATGGAGAACAGTATGGAGAATATGCCTTCTGGGGGGGTATGGAGAACAGTATGGAGAATATGCCTTCTGGGGGGGTATGGAGAACAGTATGGAGAATATACCTTCTGGGGGGGTATGGAGAACAGTATGGAGAATATACCTTCTGGGGGGGGTATGGAGAACAATGTGGAAAATAAATTATCGGGGGGGGTTATGGAGAACAGTATGGAGAATATACCTTCTGGGGGGGGGTATCGAGAACAGTAGGGAGAATATGCCTTCTGGGGGGGGTTATGGAGAACAGTATGGAGAATATGCCTTCTGGGGGGGGTATGGAGAACAGTATGGAGAATATACCTTCTGGGGGGGGTATGGAGAACAGTATGGAGAATATACCTTGGAGAACAGTATGGAGAATATACCTTCGGGGGGGTATGGAGAACAGTATGGGGAATATACCTTCTGGGGGGGGTATGGAGAACAGTATGGGGAATATACCTTCTGGGGGGGGGTATGGAGAACAGTATGGAGAATATACCTTCTGAGGGGGTATGGAGAACAGTATGGAGAATATACCTTCGGGGGGGGGGGGGTATCTGGGGGGGTATGGAGAACAGTATGGAGAATATGCCTTCGGGGGGGGTATGGAGAACAGTATGGAGAATATGCCTTCTGGGGGGGGTATGGAGAACAGTATGGAGAATATGCCTTCTAGGGGGGTATGGAGAACAGTATGGAGAATATGCCTTCTAGGGGGGGTATGGAGAACAGTATGGAGAATATGCCTTCTGGGGGGGTATGGAGAACAGTATGGAGAATATGCCTTCTGGGGGGGTATGGAGAACAGTATGGAGAATATGCCTTCTGGGGGGGGTATGGAGAACAGTATGGGGAATATGCCTTCTGGGGCGGGTATGGAGAACAGTATGGAGAATATACCTTCGGGGGGGGGGGGGTATGGAGAACAGTATGGGGAATATGCCTTCTGGGGCGGGTATGGAGAACAGTATGGAGAATAGCCTTCTCGGGGGGGGGGGGTAAGGGGTTAAACTGCAAACGGAACTTTTTACTTGAAGGGAAGTAGTAAATTCTACGGCTTCCTTAATTTTCGGGATTTGCTATTTTTGTGAGTATTTATTTTTGCACATTCCGTACAATTCGTAAAATTTTCATATCACATGGAAAAAGATATGGCAACTTCTAGCAGTTTAATGCCAAGACAACAAGAACAGCCGGCCAATCCTCACCTGTGCTGTCAACAGTCCGCTCAGTAACTCCCCTTCGACGTTCCCTTAACCTTATTCCACATGTTGCCCAGCTACTAAGGCAGCACAGCAGATGAAAATCTTCTGCAGTAAAGCCAAGATTCTGAAGGAACGGTCTGCCAACATACTGAGGCCAGGAACAACAATGGTGACAACACAGGGCCAATATCACTCCCTTCACTGGCCGTTTGTTGGGGTCAAGTTTTATCCTCTTGTCTTCTCTACAAGTTAAGACAGGAAGAATCCTTTCAGTTATTATTTATGATTTGAAGTGACCATCGCGGTAAGTTTCAGTGCTGAAACGAACAAATAAGAAATCAAGATTTCTTTCCCTGAGATATCACCTGACGTCACTTTAGAAACTTATAGTGCGATGTCGCTGAAAATGTAACCACACAGCATTCAACGACATACAGTTCGAAATTTTCATCCCACTTTCCCTCAGCTATAAAATAATACGGTTCAGCGAAAAAAAAGGCCTTAAAAAACTAAAATCATAAGGACTGTACGGAGCCTAAGGTTTCAACAAATAGACTGTTTTTTGGTGGCTAAAAAAAATGATATAAATACACCACACTAACCTCCGTGTCTCATATGCGTCGTTTTTTGTACTGTTGTCATGATCTGATTGCTTCTGGGTATTACCTAATGTTTCTATTAAGCAACGGAGAGTCAAGTCTGCCAAGAAAAATATCACAGTACATCACATTATTCGTTTGTCTACTGTCGCTGAATAATTCTGGCGTCGCCTACAATCCTGGAGCAACCAATTTCAGATATTTGGTAGCACGGAGCGCTAAACAATTCAAAAATCAAAGAAATCTCAAAGACTTATCAGAATAAATGTAACATCACCAGTAGCCAATAATAACTCATAAAGAAGACAAGAAACTATCCAAAACGCGGAAAACGCGGAAAACGCGATTTTGATTGGTTGAGAGGGTGGCGCGTGGTTTCTGGACCAATAACAAAGCGGAGCGGTTTGGGTAATCTCAGAAAGTGTTTGCTGGATAATGGATGGATATTACAAGGAGAAGTTACATGCTCATCACTTCTGGGAGTTAAAGGGTAAACAGACGGTGGTAAGAGGTCTTTTAAGCGGCGATCGACCGCCGGTAACCGGCTTTATTGGAATCCTACAGATGAAACATACTTCTCCACCCTAGAGGCAAAATTATATAGCCTAACATACGGTGGTTGTCAAGTTTGTTTCGAAGAGTCAATCAGAACACAGAACTTCTAGAAAGATCGATTACGATAAAATACACCCTTTTCATACAAACTCAAATTAACAAAATGCACAGTCCTTAACAGGATTAACGTTACGTTTCTATAAATCGTACCTGTAGCAGCCCCACAAAGGTGTTTGCTGACAGCAACAACTTTCTGCTTACTATTTTGAATACATGGCACCTTACCTGAAACAAAAGGAAAAAGAAAAATGTAGATGAGAAATTCTTCTGCCTGCATTCCTAGACAAAACTTCTCGAAGATAAACATGAGATGCAGTGTAATAAAATTTTCACAAGTGCACCACAATGCTCAATATTTCCACTAGAGATTAACTAGCGGAATAAACTACTACGTGGCCGCCAAATATACTTCTAGGACAACAACAGCAACTATTCCGATGCCAGTGAATATTGAAATGGATTGGCTTGATACGGTTTACACGTGAAAAACATGACACGCGGCCCCTGACTAAATGCCTCGTTTTTCTCTCGTGATTGGCCCTCGGCTTCTTCGACCAGCTTGTGAATGAAGGCTTATTTCGCGCCTTTTCTGACACACTGATTTAAACACGTTCGAAACCATAGTACGAATACTACAACTTAACAGAGTGCCGATTAAAAGCTAACAGAATAATATTCACGTAATGATCTATTGAAATAGCCCAGATAAATACTGCATATTTTCAACCAAACTTAATGATAGAGCGCATTTCGATTGAGCGACGAAGAACCAAAGCCAAAGTAATCACAATAGCCAATCGTAGCAAAGGTAACCCAAACATCACGGCCAATGACGAAGGGCTAACGCTCGAAACGTCGACTTTGAAACTCTTTACAGAGGCCAATTTACATTATCAAGTTGATACAACCAAATTAACTTGTTAAGAACAAGGAAACTGACTTACGCCTGGGAAAACGCGAGTGACCAAGTCAACTGACTAAAGCGCGGGAAAACGCGAGTGACCAAGTCAACTGACTAAAGCGCGGGAAAACGCGAGTGACCAAGTCAACTGACTAAAGCGCGGGAAAACGCGAGTGACCAAGTCAACGGACCAAAGCGCGGGAAAACGCGAGTGACCAAGTCAATTGACTAAATCGCGGGAAAACGCGAGTGACCGGACAGACTTAACCCTTTAAACCCTAACACCAGTATGCACATTCTCCATACTGTTCTCTGTACAATTCCTGAGGCGCTGACAAGGAGAATTAGTTGAACAATCGAGAGAATCTTTAGTTAGTGACCACCTCTTTTATTAGCTTGACCTTAATGTGTGATTCAGGGGTGATATTGTGAGGAGAAATTGGATACTAGTCACCCTTAGGGGTCAAAAGGTTAGGCGCGGGAAGACGCGAGTGACCAAGTCAACTGACTTAAGCGCGGGAAAACGCGCCAAGCGACCAAGTCGTAATTGGTTTTAGTGAAGTCTGATTGGTTGCGACAGTGGCGCGAGTTTTCGGGACAAATCACCCAGCGAAGTTACGAAAAACCAATGCAATCCCGAATAATACTTTCGACACTAGATTGAAAATTTCACTATATCATTCTTACTTAAATCAAGGTGTTTGATGTCCAAGTTTAATCGCTTAAAAGACGGTCCCTGATCCTCTCCTCTGTGATAGCGATCATACTGATGATAAAACAACAAAATTAGATGTCAGTGCCGTACAGTTTTTGCAAGACGAACTTATTTTCATGGGAAATTTTGGGAACTTATTTTCTCGGGAAATTCAAGTGGAACGTAGGATATTCCGCGTCAGAAAAGATCTACAAACGTTCTAACACAAATTCTCCAACGGATTGGCAACGCTACTCGTCATCTATTCCGTGAAAGACAGACAGTCAAGTGAGAAACATGATAGCGTGTGGCTATCAACAGAAACAAACAGAAAAAAATGAGCCTGTCTTGTTAAATTTTGATTGACTGGAGGATTCAAACCAGGGATTTTAACAACTGTTTCCATAAACGGCTGCCGATGGTGTAGTAGTAATTCAAATCCCGTCGAAGCCTAACTTTTTTCAGGCTTCTTTTCTGCAATTGATTAAATTGCAGCTGACCTACGACCATTATTTCTTTGCTTGATTTTCATCTGCAGGTGATTACATACCTTATATCTGTTACTTGCTCTGTCAATGAGTAGATAGTCTACATCCTTTGCACCATTACCCACAGCAAGCTGAAGCCAATGAGACAACTTTCCTACAATGTTGAATCACCAAAACTAATAAATCTTAGATTACGAGCAATCCACGTCCACTGCATATACAAAACAGTAAGATAATACAGCACAGAAAGTTGATTTTAGCTCATTGATTCCAACATTTTCAGGTGCAAATTCTGCGCGATTTGCTGGCAATTGAATAGCAAAGGATACATGTATTCGGAGTTTGAGTAGCCAATCAGAGCGCGCCCTCAATGTTATCTACTGTATTAGTATATACTAATCTGTTCTATTCTTTTCACTTACAGAGGTCTCACGGTCAATTTGACTCACAGAACCACTTCTAAGCTCAGTTTGAAACTACGGTACACAACTCACTCACTCACAGGCCTGGGAAAAGTAACAAATGAATATAACTTCTCTTTCTGCCTCTTCTTCTAAACAAACATAAACTTACCTCTGCCAGCTCCGAATTCCAAGAATATTGTACTGGGTTCTAAAAGATGTAGCTTGTCCATATGACCAATAAGAGAAGCCTGACCAGAAATATAATTTTAGAAAAATAATTTAGATTAGAGAAGATTGAAGACGTGTCATACAAATTAAACTTGTTTGATTGTTCATTTTTATTTTCTATTTATTCATTTTTTTATTTTCCATTTATTTTTTTTTTTTTTGGGGGGGGGGGGGCGTGGGATACCATAACTATTCATTTTCTTTGGCAACTAAAAGGAAAACTCTAAAAACATTTTCTACTATTGTGTTACAGTTCTCTTATTTTTGAAAGCTTGTAAGATGACCTAAAAGGGTTTTAAATTGTAGGTGGTAAGGTAGTTGGGAAGATATTCATAGATTACAAAGACAATCAGATACAGGATTCGGTACAAAAGAATTTGAGTACCTGTTGTTTTAAATGTTTTAAAACAGCAGGATTATCCACCATTTCTGTAACTTCTTCTTGAAATACATTATGAAATAGAACTTCCTCTGGGATTTTAGGAACGTGAGCTGAATATTAAAATAAAAAAAACACTCAAAATTGCCTTTTATTTCTGGTAAAACATAGAGAACTCTTAAGACATTGGTAGGCTTTAAGGACTTGTTGAAAAGCATAGCTCAAAAACAGCCATTTCTGGAGCCCAGACAAGTGTGCTAGAAAAAAACCTTTATAAATCTAACTCAGGAGGAAATAAGCTTAAGCAACATTAACAAGCCACAAATTCAAGACCTGCCAACCAATGTTTTGTTATTGTTTAAATCCTTGTCATTGAAGACCACCAAACACATGTAATTTGTTCTTTAGATTCTAAAAGCTTCGCTGTAATTAAGATGAATATGTAGAGTACCATAAGTTTGAATCTGCAGCATTCAATGCATGCAAATAGAAACAAACTTAGTTGTTTTATGCACAATACCTTTATAACATTCTTTAACTCTGTTGATTAACCATGAAACTTTCTCTTGAGAAACAGAACTCAATGAAGCCTAGAATGGAATAAAATTCCAACACAAAATAAATTTTCCATAATACTTCCATCTGCAATTAACCTAGTTTTTGCAACCCTTGTCACCTCATTGGTTGTAAGACTTCTGATGATAAATCAGAAAAAATGTTTGTTTCACTCAATTTCTTCTATAACCTAATGCATAACCTTCCCTCTGTATAAATATTTTGAAGAAACACTATAATTCACAAACTTAACATTTCACAAAATTTCCTAAAGCAGTTTTACTTTCCCTTTTAATGCCCTGCTTACCTCTTTTGATTAAAAAAAACCCCATAAACCCTAACAAGCTGTTGTTTTGTAGTTGGCAACAACTAGTATCAGCCACCTAGGATTGTTCAGAGAATTATTGCTCTCTGGAAGCCACTGAGATATAAACTAGTGTAAATATCTTTGATATCAAAGGATGAGGGCAGCTTTTGGCAGTAATATTGACCCTCTAGTATTGCTACATTTGGCAAGTTCACCATAGTCAAGGAGAAGGTAGTAGAACAATGCATAATCCTGACATTTGGAAAATAAAGATGATGGGCTGGTCACTCAAACAAGGTCTAACTCAAACAAGGTCTAACCCAAACCATGGTTTGGATTAGAGAGGAAAACAAGGCATTTAGTCAGGGGCCGCGTATCATGTTTTTCATGTGTAAACTGTATCAAGCCAATCCATTTCAATATTCACTGGCATCAGAATAGTTGCTGTTGTTGTCCTAGGCATATATTTGGCAGCCACATAGTAGTGCAAAAAATGGCCCTCAGGTATTCTCTATAAAAGGATTGATTTAATAAAGTAAATGTCCTTCCACTGTTAGGATTCAGCCTTCTTAACACTGTTCACAAAAATAAATGTTCAGATAAAAGGTAGTTTAGAACATAGTTTTGATAAACAAAAGCTAAACTTTGTTTAAATAACTGGCCCTTTTGAATGTGTCTCAAACTCTCAGCATGGAAGACCACATCAGTTGTAAAATACACTGTACAACAGCAGCACAAGTAAGAGGTTGTCTGAGGAAGCAATTACCCTCCATGAAAACACCTAGATTGAAACCCAGTTGCATTCATTCTTCTAAAACATATCCTGAATTCAAATTTTAGGAAAATATGAGTCTAACCCTTATGGGAAAATGACAATGTGCCTTTTTACTAAGTTCTGGCCAAAACAAAATGGTACCAAGTTTTGAGAGTCATTTCCTATCCCAATATCTGTTTGCTGTAGATACATTAGTATATGTGATTTGACACAATAAGGATGTTGTGGTCTTACAAGTGTCTGTAAACTTCAAATTGTAAAATCTGAATTGTAAAGAACATACCCTTTCTGCTGTAGAGAATTCGTAGTTTGGTATACCAGAGTTGATGTTAGCACTGTAGTAGACCTACAAAAAAACACAAAACAAAATCAAAGAGCTGGTACATGTACAGTGTAAAATTACTCAAAACTCCCTTCACTTAATCAGTCACTCTAAGGGGTCAAAGGGTTAGCCCTTTACACCAAAACAACACTATCAATTCTCCACACTGTTCTCTCTTCATATCCTATGATAATGAAAAGGAGAATTTTATTGTCAATCAGGAGCCTCTTAAATTTATGATCATCCCTGTTATTCTCATGACCTTTACCCTTGATTCAAAGGTGGTTCTCTAAAGAGAAATCAGAAGCCAGTGGCTCTCAGGGGTTAAAAGGTCAACAAAAACAGGAAGATATAAAAAAGATCAAAACTAATTTTAAAAAATCTATTTCAAACCCCCTCCCCCCTTTTCCCATAATTGCTTGTGTTCCACTGAACATCTCTACATGTTGTGTGAGCCTCTCTCTCAAAACCTTCTAAACCTGTAGGGAAATAAGTACAGTATGTATGTACATCATAAAAATATGCATATTTTCTGTTAACCCATAATTTTTCTTACTTACAACTTGAGTTTTTTTTGTTTGATTGCATTTCTTGAGGTGACTTCCAAGCTGGTCTTCAAATACTGTGCTATGAATTAGAACGACCAATATTAAAATTTGTAATGTAAATGTAGCAGCAAAGAAATTACAGAGATATTCTTCAGCATTTTAACAGCCTCACTATTTATCAACAGATGAAGTTTAAATAAATTTTTATCATTATAATTTGTCATAATTTATACATATTTACAGGTGATTCATAGCTTCCAAACAAGCCCTTGGGTTTGTGTTTAGCCTTAACCCTCCTTACCAGGCACAGCGGAAAAAGTTATTGAAACCCTTGTAGATAACAGTTTAATTTCTCTCAAAGTACATTTCTTGACTTTGGCAATAAATGAGTGCCAGTGAACTGTCAGGAAAACCTGAAAAAACACGGAGCCATAACTTGCAGTGATCAAGCATCCATCTACAAGATTGCCCAGACTTCTATCCACTTCACGTGTTTTGTCTAGACCATGGTCAGCCTTAGTGGGATGAGCTGGTAAGCTCATAAACTAACTTGAATGTTTTCCTCTTCCCTTTGGTATAGAACAAAAAGTTTTTGTAGTGTATTGTGTTTCATATTATTAAAGGGTTAACTCCCAGATCAAATTTATAACTCTCCTTACTGTCTGTCATACAATACTTATAATGTTAGTTCAGAGGATTTAGTATTGGATCAACTAGTTATCCCCAAATTGATAGTTTTCTTTACTCTCATCACTTATCTGCTTGATATTGTATTGATATTAAAGGGTCAATAATGATAATAGGACTAGGTGGAGTCCAATTTGATTTATAATCATAAGAGTGATTGACAAAATCAGATGACCACAAAGGAGGAGTTTGATCTGTTAATCACAAGTATGATTACAGACAGAATTGGACAACACAAGGCCCTATTACCAATTAATCAAAACTATGACAAGATTTGAGATAGAAACTAGACATTGGTTATAAGTTTTCATAAAAAAAAATACAGTTAACTCAGCAAAATTCAAGACAACAGCACACATGATGCATTCTGTCCACTTGCACAGGCAAGTCTGTCCCTTCAACTGTCCTTTTATACTGTCCAATTATAAGCATGATGCATACACTGTCCTATTGGTTCTCAAATTGGGCTGGTGATAACCAATATGTGAGAGAATTTTGTTGTAGCTTTGATTAGAGCATTGAGAGGAATCACTTGACTAATGAATAATTTACAGTTATCTATCATTCTTACTGTTTCCTATCCAGAGGACAAGTGATCCTTTTTCGTCCAGCACCCTGTTGTGGGAGAGACCAAATAAAAAGGGATTTGTCATCTTGTTCCTAAGACTTGAATCACATAGAAAAAAAGCTCAATGAAAATGATCTAAGAGTCAGAGGGTTATAACGTGTTATTGCAGGCTGTAGGAGATGCAGATAACAGCTGGACTGTGGATTGGTAGGTCTAATATCAAGCGCTGGCAGGTTTATAGTGTCATATTTTGTCCTATTTTAGATGGCCTACTCTCATAACACACTCTTCACCCTGGAGTATGCTGGTATAAGTGTCAGGTATAGTACCACTTGTGTATATGTTAACCACAAAGGCGAATTTCATATGCTCAGACACAGGGTAGTCAGACATGTATATAAATTATGATTTTTTTGCACGTGTTGATGAGGATCAGAAGGAAATATATTTTATTTAAGATTGTGAATAATGATTTATTTTATTCATTGCAATCAGCACTCACTTCAGTGTTTACACACTAGAATGTCAACAGTTTCATTTTGCATTGCACATGATGATGTCTGATTGCAGAGCGCATCATATTACATCGAGGAAAGGTCAAGTTAAAGTAAATCACAATGTCAAAGACCAACATTCATCTGAAAACCAAAAACATAGAGCTTCTCTGGCTAAAACTGACAATATTCTTGCGTCGCCTTGTCAAGCCAACCAACAAGGACAAACTTGCCACAGGAATCCATAGGTTCCAGGACTCTGTGACAGCTGCTAAGTGCTACAAATACATTAGCCACCTCTGAAAAGTTATTCCTGCTATTCTCCAACACAAAGGAAGAGCCTTACACTACTAACAGCTTCCTTAATGAACAAATGGCTCCTTTAGGAGCCACCAATTTTACTGAAGTCTTGGATTACCGCTTTGACTGACATGAGTTTGATTATTGCTGTATTGGTATTTTGTCTAATTGCACGCACCAGCAAGTCTTAAACAAACTAGAACTACATGTATCCTGCATTTAATTTTTCCTTTCCTTTTTAAGAGCAATTTGGTGAACATCAATCAATGATTTGACAAATATCAAAACAAGAAACAAATCCAGCTTCCCATAAAAATTTGTATACGAGTCACAACAAGACATAGTCATGACAGGTAACCATACTGAAACACAACACCATTGAAATAAGCAAGTAAAACTTAGTTTTTGTATAAATGGCCAGATGAACAAACCAGTTTTCAAGAACAACATGTTCACCGATGACAAAAGCTATGAAATAAGCATTCGCATGTGGGTTTGCATTCAGAACATGACAACTGGTTACAAACAGGCACCTTAGCTTTCTACCGAATTACAATACACTGAGAATAAATTTATTTTGATCAAATTCCCATGCAGTTGTGATGCATATTTTTTTAATACGTAGTGAGAAATAGCTATATTGATGAAAGAATTCCTTCGGAAAATGATAAGTCATTTGACAAAGTCGCATTGGTAACAGCATATCAGGAAGATCGGTTCGAACCGTGATTAAAATAAACAAGTTTGCTTGTCTTGCTAGTCATGTAGTATTTTAGTGCTGTTACACTGTAGCCTATTCTTTAAAACGATAAACTGCCAACAACAGACAAACAAAAGGACTACCTCATACGCACTAATGAGGCAGATGTATCAATCTTATGCGCACACGTGCGATTTTTTGACGCGCACGATTTTTTTATTCGCAATTGCATGCGATTTTTGGCACGTTTTATTCGCGTTTTTTGGTTAACGTAAACGCGAGTGGTACTGCAAAGTCAACCAATTTCTGGGATGCTAGTTGCAATAATCTGTAAGAATCTCGAGCAGCCCCTTACTTTATCATGTTTACAGTTCTTGCATAAAGAAAACAAATGGCAAGGGGACAGTGCGAAAATCTTACCTGGTCAACTAGCATCCCTTTCGGAACTATTAGAAATAACTTCTGATTTAGGACAAGCTTAGGCAGCCATCGCATCTTCAAACATTTAAACTTGATCAATTAAGGCTTACTTTAGATTCTTCATCAAAAATCCTATGCTCTCCGCAATATTTGCTTCCCCCTGAAACTGTCATTCGGCAAAAACGGTGTTTTCGTTTCAAAAAGAAGGCACAAGTTATACGCTCCCTTTGCAAGTCGTCCGCCATCTTGGGTATTTATTGATTCATGCACTGAACTATCCAACCGCTGGCCAGACAAACTGTGTGACCACTTTGTGTGCGCTTTTCGATTAGCTCATCGCCCCTCCTGGCGAAAACTAAGCTTATAATCAGAAAAATCCCAGACGATAAACTAGCTTACTCGCGGTTTCACGTGGCCGGGGAATTCCAGACCCTTAAACCCTCATTCTGGGTTTGCCATAGCTTCACTCACTAAAGTCGTCCCTGAAAAGTTGTAGCCAAAGAAAAGATGCCAAGCGAAAAAAAGGAGTGATGTTTTATTGTTTTATCTAGTATAAGCATCTGGTACTCACCGTAAAACCAGATGTCAATTTTACCAACCCACGGGGTACTCTGTAACTGACTGTGCAGAGATTTTCGATTTACCTAAAGGGGTACATCATTCAATCCAGAGAGGTACATATATATTTTTAAATATGGTATTTAATGACACCTATTTCATGGCATAAAAAAGGATAAGGAACACGGAATATATTACGTCGCACCTAATAAAACTGATTAAATTTTTTGATTTTTCGAAGTTTGAAAAATTTGCAAAAATACTGGAAAATACTGCCGAAAATTCGCCACGCAAAAATTAACAGCCTGACGCTTGAAAGGAAGCGTTGCTCACTTGTCTCGGGGAGGTCTTTCTATATCCTCCTAAGCAATCAAAAGTCTAGTAGAAATCATGTTTGACAATCATACTGGCAAAATAACACGGAAGAACAGATAAAAGTTACCTAAAGATAAGTAAGGAAGCGTGCTCTCTTGCCTCGGATACAATTTTTATGAACTCTGACCCACGCTGAAGTCTGGTAAGAAAAAACAACAACAACAATCACATTTCTGTTGTTAAAATAGGAAATCTACAAATTTTTTCAGCAGGATAAGGAACAAAATTTTTAGCAGAATATTTCTCATGCTATTGAATAGCACAAGTAGCGAGTTCTTGAGTGAAACCGCATTCCATGCAACTTGGCTCCATTCCTTAGGATTATGTTGATCAGAAGAAAGAGTAGACTTTGATTCTAGCGACTGTTATCTAAACTTCACAGGGAGGGGACTCTCGTTTAAAGCTGAAGTAGATTTAATAAAACTGAAAAGATAATAAACAAAAAGCGAGTATCATTATATTTCTTAGCATTCTTATCACGACTTTCATTAATAATCGATTATGTGGCTCTGAACCAGGAGTTCTCAGATATTAAGTTATCAATTTTACTATCTTTGGAATTCATTCGATTATAAATTCGTTCGCAAGCCAAGACCTACATGCTGACAGATCGACTCGCTCACTCACAAATAGAGTCTTCATCGAAAACAGATTAACAACTTGCAAAAAGTAACTGGCGGTCATAATTCAGGACGTATGGTGATCGTTACAACTGGGGATAAAAATTCAAAGTCTCGTTTGACAGGGGTGGATCACACTTCACGAGCAGAGCACTATCAGACCATGTTTCCAGAGAATCAGTTTTTGCTTTGTAAATTTTATACTTAACTTTCCATGGCAACCCGTTTGTGAAAGATGGAGAGCGGACTTAGATATTTCTGAAAATATAAGTGGGTACTTAACAGTTGTCACCATAAGCTATGGATCTTTCAATGCAAAAAGGAGTTCTTCAAATAATTTTCTGTTCAGTAAGTAAGCCAGAATAGATACCGCTGACTACAGCTGTCAAGAGCAACAGTGCACTGAGCGGAAAGAAGAAGTATGACAACTTCAAAACCGCTTCTTAAGGCTGATTATGGCAGGCCAAGTCTTATCAAAGTAGAGACCACGAAAACCTGCATTTAATTGTCTCACAAACGTCAATTGTAGTTATTTGAATGATAAAAATTTGAGATAAAAAGACAACGTGCAAACAACTGTTCGGTTTATCTTTCTGATAATATTTGAATTACAAATTTAGCTTTCAGGCTTTATGGGAACCTCCAGTCTTAAGGCAAAGGTTACTCAAAAGGCTCTAAATGTTGGGTTGCTCTCTTACCTCGTGTAACACTGAAGTCTGGTGAAAACAAATATATTTTTGTGGTTTGATAAAGGAAAACTACAAATTGATTCAGTAGGACGAGGAAAACAATTCCTTTGTACAAGTACGGAGTTGTTAAGTAAAACATTTCAACTTGGCTCGATTTTTTATGATTTTGTTGATGAAATGAACGACTAGAATATTAGGCGTCCTTTTTTTTTTCAGCGACTGTTGACGTATCTAAATTTTACAGACAAATGTTAAGAGGAGGCTCACGTTAAGCTGCAGTAGAATAATGAAATAATGTTAAACAAAAGACGAGTTGTGAAAATATATTCTTATATGCCTTACAATTCTTGCAGGGATTTCATTAATAATCGATTCTGTGTCGACGTCATTGAACCATAGGTTCTTAGCTGTTGATATCGAGCTATCAATTTTACTCTCTTTGGAATTCATACTATGATAGTTTACCTAGCAAGCCAGAACTCCGCCGTGCCGGCAGAGATCGCTGGAAGGGCAGTTTGGTATTTCCTCAACTCAGTCACAAGAAGATTCTTAATCATTATAACGTTAGCTTCTAATGGCTTGTCAACACTAACGCTGGCTATCAAATTCAACTAGTACGGCGAACGTTACAACTGGAGATAATTAAATTTTCACGAACGAGAAGGATGGAGCACTCTCCCTGAGCAGAGCACTAACAGGCTTTTACACATCTCTCCTTGGACCAAACATTTTCCTCTCCATCACTGCATTATTAGGGAAATGCTCTCATCATGATTGCTCTTCACAAGTAATTTCTATTTATCCACCAACAAAACTTTTGTTTCGATCTCTCGCAGTCTCTAATCTTGGCACTGGTCTTTTAAATGTCATCCTCGTCGCCATAGTATGTCGCATAGGAATCTCGGTGGTTGATCCTTTTTCCCACGTTGTCTTAACTTTACAACAAAATCAACCAACCTTTCCGCCATATTGATTTTGGGTTCATGTCTTGTTGTTCCCAGCCTCCCTGGAGCTGAGCTCTATGTAAACTTGACGTTGTTGTGTGTAACCTGTCTATGAGCCTGGCAAACAGAAGGGAAACTTTCACCAATCTATTTACAATGACTGCCTTCTTCCTCAAGCAATACATGTTCAAGTTTTTTTTCACTGCTATCTTATATCAAAAGTTAAATAATTAAAAGACCTTTCAGAATTTTTTGTTGTTTATGTCCAGAGGAGTATCATAAAAAAATAGCTTTGTCCAATGATAAGTTTTAAGAAAAGAATAAACTGGTCATCTCATTTACTGCTCTTTTAACGCATCTTGTCTAATCAAGTGTAATCACGTGGGTTAAGCCGAAGGTTAAATGAAATTCGTAGATATTTTTGTCCCAAAATGAAGATAGTGAAAGATGTTCTCTCTTTAGTTCATGAATTTCGGTTTTTTATATCTAACTTATATAACTAATGATGGATTTGAGCATGCAAAAATGAAACAATTGACTTGTTTTACAAGGAACGTCAGCCTTTAGTGTTCATTTTTTAGACCGCTTGGATTTTCATTAGGAGATTGATCAAAGTATTAGTGAATCATCTGCCTTCACAAGGTAAGCCATCTCCGCGATATTCCACTTTTCAAGACTTTTTATTTTCTAGTGGGTGCAATTTGCATGATCAAGATACTAAGGCTACGTTCACACAGTACCGGACAAATTTTCGACCGGTGGAAAATTCGTGTGTTTGGGCGTTTCGTTCACATGGAATCACGCCAAACGTACGAAAATTTGGACGCCCAAGCGTTCAAAACTTTAAAGACCAAATTCGAGGACGAATTTTTAGCCGGTGCAGTCAATAATTTGACCGCCACGGTGTGAACACCTTAAACGTCAAAATTTTTGTACGGCGAAGGCGTAGCTGCATGGATGCGTGGTAATTAGGCTAAAGAACATGTTTACAATTTTATACGATAATGGAACGTGTTGGTTTATTGTTTGCGGTGCTCGATAATAATACAGCGTTACTGCATAACATTATCTCGCAAATGTGTAGGCCATGCCGGACTTACCACGCACGTAGGCGACGTTGTGTTGGTGTCTTGACAATGTCAGAAAATCAACATAAAAAACGTCGCACATCTGACGTCGAAGCAGCAAAAACACTGGACGCCATTTGCTCTGGGTTAAGAAGCGTTCTGCACATCAGGATAGGATAAAACACTCAAAAATGTCGCAAAATTTATCCTGTTATCGGTTCCATCTGAACAGAACGAAACTTTCACACGGTTCCGTGTGTACAGAATGTCCGGTCGAAACTTTCGGCTAGTCGAAAATTCATCCGGTACCGTGTGAACGTAGCCTAAGATGATCACTTTACTAAGAGTTACCCTTAAAAGTGTTAATCTGGATAAGACTTAGATAACGTAATGAGTGAGTGACATCAGAGTCAGGATCTACATAGATCGACACTAAAAAAATTTACTAAGATTGATAACATTTTGGGGAGGGGAGGGAGAGGGAATAAACCTGGACCATACTTATGCAGCGGGATCCTTGAAGCTAATCTCCTGAAAAGTCACATCAGTCATCCCTGCTACTCTCACATTTTTATTTCCGCTTCGCTTTGGCTATGAAACTAGCAATTTGAGAGCACTACAACGCGCCATAAAAGCGATGACGAATAGTAATGATGATGACACTTTGATGCCTAGAACTACTGATATATCGGGCCAATCTCGGACAGGATTTTCTTGTGAGAAAAATGAAAGTCAAATCATGGAAGAATGAATAAATTCATCAACTTTTTTCCTAATTCATTAGTGGAAATACAGAAAGACCCTGAGCAATTTACCCCGAATATTAAGTGTTCCCCTTAAATTACTTGTGTTTCGGTTTTGAATTTTATAAACAATAATGCATTTGAGCATGCAAAAATGAAAAAGATTGTACTTTGTTCAGTACAGGGATCGTCAGCCCTTAAGTGTTCATTGCTTTTAAACGGTTGGATTTTCATCACGAGATCGATCACAGCAGTACAATTAAATAGGGTATTTTTCAGTGTTTGGGTGTGATGATCGACTCTTCACTGATGAACTTTTCATTTTCTAATGAGTGTGATTTGCATCATCAATAGACGATTATATATTAGTAAATGTTACGATTATTTTAGTAAATGTTACTTTCGAAAGTATTCATCCTGGTAGAAGAAAAAGAAAGTTAAGCAGGTTACTCTGAGCTTCAAGTTCTCCGGTTTAGGTATTTGTATTTCGGTTTTGTTAGTCCAACTTTGATAGCCATTGATGGAATTGAGCATCCAAATGAAACAATTTACTTTGTTTTACAGGAAACATCGGCCCCCAGCTAATGCTCATTGCGTTAAATGGTTGGATTTTCATCACAGAATCGATCACTGTACAATTGAAGCTTCTGTCTTAAAACGGTAGGATATTTGTATGAAATGACTGACTGAATGTTTTACAATCATGACTTGTAATTTTTTTAATGGCGAGGCACTGAAGTCTACAGGTTTTGGTTAGTATTGGATATATTCATAAAAGTGACACAGGTCAACTTATTTGCCAAAGTTGGTGCCTTTACATAGCCTACGTACATAATTTTTGTTTAGAGCGTTAGTGTTCTATCGTGCTATATTCAATGTAATGATCTATGTCTTAGATAAAAACTGAGAGGTAATGTCTATCAAATAGAAAGACAATCACAAATAGCGAGGTCGAATTAAAAATTTGAAATACCATTTTGGATATTGAAATTTTCTGCGAACGACTGAATCGCATATCACCAGCGCTGGTAAAATTGATTTCTGTAGAGATATATTGCTGCGCTTCGCACTGTCGAGCTGATCTTGAGAAAGACAGGATAGAGTATTAAGGAAGGATAAATGAAGTTTTTAGTTCTCCAGAGTGGAGATAGTGAAAGATGTTACCTCTTCAGTTCATGTATTCGGTTTTTTATATCTAACTAACATAACTAATGATGGATTTGAGCATGCAAAAATGAAGCAATTTAAGTGTTCATTCATTTTGACCGCTTGGATTTTCATTACAAGATTTATCAAAGTACAAGTGAATCATCTGCCTTCACAAGGTAAGCCATCTCCGCGATATTCCACTCTGCAATATTTTGTATTTTCTGGTAGGTGTGATTTGCATCATCAAGATACTAAGTAATTTACTGAATAAGGAAAACGGATAAAGTTAAGCGTGCGAGATTCTTTAAGATGATCACTTTACCAAGAGTTACCCTTTTAAGTGTTAATCTAGATAAGACTTAGTTAAAATAATATGTGGGTGACATTAGAGTCAGGATCTACATATATCGACACTCTCTAAAAAATATACAACAATTGATACTATTTTGGGAAGGGGAGGGAGGGGGCATGAACCTGGACCATACCGACTTATTAAGCGGTATCCTTAAAGCTAATCTCCTGAAAAGTCACATCAGTCATCCCTGCTACTCTCACATTTTTATTTCGCGATGATAAATAGTAATGATGTGGATACTTTGGTGTCTAGAACGCCCAAATTGTCGGGCCAACCTCGGGCAGCATTTCCTTGTGAGAAAAATGGAAGTCGAATCATGGAAGAATAAATAATAAATTCATCAGTTTTTTTCCTAATCTAAAAGTGGAAAATGAAGAAAATCGCTGAGTAGTTTACCCCGAAAATTAAGTGTTCCCCTTAAGGTACTTGTATTTCGGTTTTGAATTTTATAAATAATGATGGATTTAAGCATGCAAAAATTAAAATGATTATACTTCAATTTGTTCAGGACAGGGATCGTCAGTTTATTGCTTTTAAATGGTTGGATTTTCATCACGAGTTCGATCACAGTGCAGTGAAATAGGGTATTTTTCAGTGTTTGGGTGTGATGGTCGACTCTTCACTGATGAACTTTTCATTTTCTAATGAGTTGTGATTTGCATCATCAATAACAAAGACACTACTTAATTACTTTAAAAGCAAAACAGATGAAGTTATTAGTGTGAGTTTCTCTAGGACGATTAGTTTACTAAATGTTACCCTTGAAAGTGTTCATCATAGTGGGAGAAAAAGAAAAGTTCAGCAGTTTACTACGAACTTTAAGTGCTCCGGTTTAGGTATTTGTATTTCGGTCTTGATGTTCATTGATGAATTTGACCATGCAAAATGAAACAATTTACTTTGTTTTACAGGAAACGTAAACCCCTGGTGTTCATTGCGTATAAACAGTTGTATTTTCATTACAAGATTGATCAAAGTACAAGTGAACCTTCTGCCTTCAAAAGGTAAGCCATCTCCGCGATATTCCACTCTTCAAGATTTTTTATTTTCTAGTGGGTGTGATTTGCATGATCAAGATACTTAGTAATTTACTAAATAAGGAAAACGGATGAAGCCAAGCGTGCGAGTTTCTATAAGATGATCACTTTACTAAGAGTTACCCTTTTAGTGTCATGACTGTTTTACAATCATGACTTGTGGGGCAGGGACATATCTAGCTTCAAAACAATTAGTTCAATGATTTGTACGACATCGTTACGAGCATGACAGTGTTATGAACACCTCAGTGGAACAAACGCTAACAGATTTCCTCGGTGTGAGTTTCTTTGTAGAAACACAAACATACATAAATTCACAGAAGTGGATTTGACTCAAGGTCACGAAGATTCCTGACGAAAAGAAACGAAAAGAGTCGAAGAAGAATCCAATTAGATCTGTAACTACACATCGAGTGATTTAACAAAATTTGACAAACACCGAAGTGGAAACTAAACAAGTTAGGATAAGGAACCCTATGTGCCATATGTTACAGGCTATGAATGGAAAAACAGAAAAAACTTGGTTTCAACCATTTAAATGCAGTTACCTCTACTTCATTTCAGCAAAATTTTCTGCTGCAAATTGCGTTGAAAACCAAGGTTCCTAATACATTTTCACACCCACCAACCCTTGTACAGGAACTTTCGATTGTCATATGCCTGACCTACATTTTTTCTCACACTTACAGTGATCAAGGCCATATGAAAAACACAGAAGAAGAATTTATCACATTGCCTATCAAAATAGGTGTAACTGTCGGCATTTTCCTTCTCAACACTGGTGTTGTCTTTAAAGCCATCGAGCTGTGCCAAGAAAGCTTGATTTTACTACACAATGGGGATTTAAGCGCGGACAGTCCAGTTGCGAAATCATTTGAAGAACGCATCTTTACCTCAGTGATAAGGGTATGCAATTCACCAGGTTTTAGCAGATACCTCAGGGAATTTTCATATCATCACCCTGAAGAGGGAAAGGAACTTTATAAAGTAGCCATAAAAGTGATGAAAATGACCGGAAGCAGCCAAGGAGAAGCAGAGTATTGTAGAGGACTAGGAGTGCTTCTGTGTTTCTTAGGAGAATACAACAAAGGAAAAGAATATTTGAAGATGGCACTTGCTATTAGCATAAAATTTGGTGACAAGAGTTCCATAGCTGCAAATTACATAGACCAAGGAGCAGTGCTCATATCGCTTGGCAAATACGACACGACCCGAGAATGCCTTGAGAAAGCTCTCGCTATCCAAATAGAAATTGGCGACAGACATGGAGAGGTAATAAGCTACGGGAATCTCGCAGCAGTGTTCAATTTACTCGTGAAATATGAAGTGGCCCTAGAATACCTAGAGAAAGCTCTCGCTATCCAAATAGAAATTGGCGACAGAGATGGAGAGGCAACAACTTACGGGAACCTTGGAACAGTGTTCATATCGCTTGGAAAATACGACAAGGCCCAAGAATACCTGGAGAGAGCTCTCGCTATTGACATAGAAATTGGCGACAGAAATGGAGAGGCAACAACTTACGGGAAACTCGGAACAGTGTTCATATCGCTTGGAAAATACGACAAGGCCCAAGAATACCTGGAGAGAGCTCTCGCTATCCAAATAGAAGTTGGCGACAGAAATAAAGAGGCAAACACCTACGGGGACCTCGGAACAGTGTTCGAATGTCTTGGGAAATATGGCAGGGCTCGACAATACTTGGAGAAAGGACTCGCTATCAAAATAGAAATTGGCGACAGAGATGGAGAGGCAGTAATGTACAGAATCCTCGGAACACTGTTCAAATCGCTTAGCAAATATGAAAAAGCCCGAGAATACCTAGAGAAAGCTCTTGCGATTAAAATAGAAATTGGCCACAGAGATGGAGAGGCAGCATGCTACGCAAACCTCGGAAGTGTGTTCCAATTGCTTGGCAAATACGACAAGGCCCAAGAATACCTGGAGAAAGCTCTCGCTATTCAAATAGAAGTTAGCAACAGACAAGGACAGGGAACAAGCTACGAGAGCCTCGGAACAGTGTCCCAATCACTCGGCAAAAATGACAAGGCCCGAGAATACCTGGAGAAAGCTCTCGCTATCCAATTAGAGATTGGGGACAGACATGGAGAGGCAACAACTTACTGGAACTTCGGAAGACTGTTTAGATCGCTTGGCAAATACGACAAGGCCCAAGAATACCTGGAGAAAGCTCTCGCTATCCAAACAGAAATTGGCGACAGACATGGAGAGGCAACAACTTACGGGAACCTCGGAACAGTGTTCATATTGCTTGGGAAATATGACGGGGCCCAACAATACTTGGAAAAAGGACTCCCTATCCAAATAGAAATTGGCGACAGATTTGGAGAGGCAACAACTTACGGGAACCTCGGAACATTGTTCTTATCGCTCGGGAAATATGTTGGGGCGCGACAATACCTGGAGAAAGCTCTCACAATCATAACAGATATTGGCGACAAAAATGGAGAGGCAACAAGCTACGTGAATCTTGGAATTGTATTCCAGTCGCTTGGCAATTATGACGAGGCTCGAGAATACCTGGAGAAAGCGCTACGTATTTTCAGGAGAATTGGTGAAAGAAAAGGAGAGGCAGACACTTTTGGACGCCTTGCATCTTTGTTTCTGTCCCTCGGTAAATATTCAAAGGCAGACGATTTTCTAGAGAGAGCGATCGCAATTTGGAGGGAAATTGGTGACAGAGAAGGACAAGCAGAACATTTCGTAAACTTTGGGGCAATTTGTCACAAGCGTGGTGAGTACGACGATGCTCTAGAATATCAGAAGAAAGCCCTTGAAATTCACATGGAAATTGGTACGAAAGAAGGTGTTGTTATTAGTTACAGAGATATAGGATTGTGTTTCCAATCGCTCGGTAAATATGACATGGCCGAGGAATACCTCAAGAAAGCTCTCTTATTAAGCAAGGATATTGGACAAAGTTTTCTTGAGTTTCAATGCCTTCGTGCTCTAACGGTGTTGAAGGTATCACAAGATGATCTTAACGAAGCCTCTTCGTTTATTTTCCAAACCATTAAAATGTTCGACACTTTGAGAGGATTTCTTAAAGACAACGATCAGTTTAAAACATCACTTTTGGAGGAGCACGGCGCCTTTCCCTACAAGTTGCTCAGTAGCTTGCTTTCTTCCACGGCAAAGCCACACGTCGCCCTCTATGCCGAGGAGCTGAGACGGGCGAGGGGCTTGGCCGACTTGATGGCAGCTCGGTACTCTGTTGTAAAGCAGGTCTCAGGCGATCCAAAATCATGGTATGGGATTCAAAACATTGTCGCAAAGGAAACTGACTGTGCATGCCTCTACATTTCTGTTGGAGAAAAGCATATGCGCTACTGGATTCTCAAAGCAACAGGGGCTATTATTTTTTCAGATGAGGAAGTGAGCCTGGACAGAAACGTGGTGACCGGATTAGTCCCTGACTTGGATGAGTTTTTTACGAAAAGCTTTCGTGGCCTTGGCATTTTACCCGAACAGAATTGCGAAGATCGATCTCTAGATGACACCGAATCGATCTCACTTAACCATGAAAATCACGCGATCCTGCGCGATTGTGACGACAAAGGTATCAAAAAGAATCTTCACTTGTGTCACAAGATGATCATCGCCCCTGTGGCTGCTTTACTGAATGAGCCCGAAATTATCATTATCCCTGATTCCTGTATGTACCAGGTACCATTTTCGGCTTTAACTGACGATGGAGGAAATTTCGTATCAGACACATTCAGGTTACGCATCGTTCCCTCTTTGACGACTCTCAAGCATATCCAGGACAGTCCCCCATACTATCACAGTCAAACAGGTGCATTGATAGTCGGTGACCCTCAGGTTGGAGAGGTGATTTACAAGGGAAGACGCATGACTATAACACGGTTGCCATGTGCAAGAAAGGAAGCAGAGATGATTGGAAGACTTCTTGGTGTCACACCTTTGATTGGAGATCGCGCGACAAAGCAGGCTGTACTTCAAGCAATACATTCAGTGAGTCTGATCCATTTAGCAGCCCATGGTAGTGCTGAAAGAGGAGAGATTGCCCTTTCCCCAGAGTGTCCCGCTGGCTATGTTCCACGAGAAGAAGCCTACCTCTTGACGATGGAGGACATTTCACGAATTAAGCTTCGAGCTAAACTGGTGGTACTAAGCTGTTGTCACAGTGCATGTGGACAGATTAAAGCCGAGGGAGTCATTGGAATCGCTCGAGCGTTCTTAGGATCCGGTGCTCGCTCAGTCTTGGCGGCACGGTGGCTCTTATATGACACAGCCACAGAGAAGTTCATGACTTGTTTCTATGAGCACTTATTCCGCGGTGAAAGCGCCAGTGAATCCCTTCACGAAGCCAGGAAATGGATGAGAAACAATGACTTTGTAAAAGCCTCCGAGTGGGCTTCTTTTATGCTGATTGGCGACAACGTGACATTTGATTTTGCAAATTGGCCTGTGTCTACTACAACCAAATAGCCAGGAGTCAAGTAAACCCGCTGTAACGGAATGTGCTGGACTGAGTAAAGCTAGAAAATGTTAATTGCCACCGTATAGAAAGTGGAAGCCATCTGCGAAAGACGTCTGCGAGCTAAATTTGAGGCACTCAGCTATTGTCAAAGCAAAACATTCTTGTAAAGAGCGCGCCAGGGACAGAACAATTCATAAAGTAGAGATGATGAACAGTTAGCAGTTAACAAACGCAAAGAGCATTCTTTTCTCGAAAGCGAATAGTTAAATAATCAAGCCAAGCATAACTATTTGTTTTCGAAAGCGATTAATATATTAAGCAAGCAAATTTAGTGTAATATACTTTCGAAAGTGATATGTCGTTTAGCCCAAGCAAATATGGAATAATTGTTTTCATAAGAGGCCCTCTATCATAATAAAATGCGCAGAGTTTTTTTTTTCAAGATTTAGCGGTATACTCGAACTTAATTGAAATGATTTTGTCAGGAAATCATATGTAATCTCAAGCATGACGATAAAACGTTTTCTCCAGTAGAGTAGATTTTCAAAGGTTTTCAAAATCTTTTGGTTTCATTTGTTTGTTTTTTTCGCGGGGAACCATCTTAAGTACTTTTATAAAGTGATCTCCATGCCCAATATATATGTCGACTTCAGGGTAACGCTAATTTTTTTTTGACTTCATTAAATTAATTGCATTTTTCCTGCCGATAAAGATTTAAATGACTCGTCACACGAGCACTTTACAATTGTCTAGTTTAGGATTCTAGAATAATTTTGGATAATGGCCCTCAAGTTAAAAATAAGTCCTCGAATTTAAAGGGAAGGCCACGTATCTCTTAATTTTGTAGCAAAAAAAATTATAACTTAGGAGTTAAGAAGGTTAACCGAACACGGTTACCAGTAACATTTTCGTACAAAAATTTCTACCGGACTAGATTGTATTGTGCCTAATTTTGTAAAAAAAAAATTGTTGCCTAGACCATTTATTTTACTACAATCGTTAAGATGTTCGGATGAACTGTGTTGTGAATAAAAGCAGTTATTCTTCATCATTACGACATACTGAATGAAGGGCAGTTGTTTTTTTCTTAAACTAGATAAACGCTTCGATTCTCACACCGACAGTCCACCACTGACTGTTGGATTTGATGTGTTGGACTTGCTTGAACGGAGCTAGTAAAATACATCTTCAAATTATAGCTGTCTTTGCGAGCGGGAAAGATTTGGAGAATCTTGTGTTCTGATCGTCTACCAGAGTATGCTAGTCGCCGGATTGCTGACCAATATAAATCTTCTTGAAGAATTTATCTAAACTGCTGCTCACTTGTTCTGTTTCATGACAGGTGAAGGCACGAAGTTATAAAGTTAAGCTGAAAGAAATCAAACATGATGTATATGAAGTTCTCTCTATGTTGTAATAAGTATATGTTACGTCACATTGTTGTTGTCGGATGACTGACTGATGTTCACATTGAATGATATAATATATATCATGCACAGAAATATGAAATGACATAATTCATATCAGGCGAGGGGATCGGTAAACATTTATCCCTAGGGGGATGGGAGGCGATAAATGATAAGTGGTTCCTATGCGCAAGTTTTTTTTAATGATTCTTTAAATAGATATCACGGAAAAAAGTTTCAAAATGTAGTTTGGTAATATGTGCCACGTCCTCTCCACCGTAAGAAGAGTGAAAAAAAGCCCTTGCCCTCCGTGATACGTCATGCAATCGTGACTCAGTACCGCGCACAAATAACAAAATGATTTTAAAACAGTGGATCCTTCACGAAAAATGTCCGAGATGTGAAGTATCCGTAAGTGTAACTTGCCGTCAAAAGATACCCGAAACTTTTCTTGCATTTTGATGCAGCACCTGAACTGAACAATCAAAACAATCAAAAACAATCAAAAACAACCAAAAAATTTTCATGCAGCTCAACAATTTAACCCACAAGGAGTGACTGGCATCTAATTTCTCCTTATAATATCATACATAAGATCAAACTTAAAGGTCAAGAGGAAAGCGGAAATGATTAGCAACTGACGAAGCTCTCGATGGTTAATATACAAATTCTTCTTATCAGCACTTTGGGAAATGTAAAGAGAACAGTATGGAGAATATGCATAATGAAGTTAGGGTGTACAGGGTTACGAAAACATAACCTCAAAGCAAGTTTCACCTCTTGTAGTCTCCTTCGCGGCCGTTGTTTACCTCGTCACGCAACGCGCTCTCTCCTGCGTTGCGTGACGAGACCAAAAGTCACTGTTGCGTGAAATGCTTTCATGTTGCAACACAACTCCAACTCTGCTCTCAAAATCTTCAATACCACACTCGGCAAAGCGTCACGTAGTATTGAAATTTCTCGTTCATCGTAAGTGAACTCGTGCAGGTAAACCCCGATAATTCCCTCACCGAGTGCGTTAATCTGTAAATAATGTATGGAAAACTTGCAGTCGTGCGGTTCTGAGAGAGGCCACAGACGAGCAAGATTGAAAATCAAACTGTACTTTAACTTCAAAGAAAGTACCAAATCTGATGGTACTTGAAATGGTTCAAATTTGTTACTATAAACAGATTAACATTTGCAGTAGCTTGTTACTGCTAATTTTTAAACTGATCCAATCCTCGCATCTCAAAAAACATCGCTGCAAGATTAACTGTATCGAAAATTATACCGTGTTAAATGTACAAAATAGCATGTTACAGAATGTGCTAACTATCACAATAGGACATAGTTTGCCATTAGTGGCTTTAATAAGAAGCGTTTCTGACTTTAAGTCATTAAATTTCGAATATATTGCGATCCAACGTCAGATGGATCTTCCTCATTCTCTTCTCGACAAGTTGTTTGCATTGGAGAATATACTCGTGTCTCTCGTGAGCGAGTTGCGCGGATGCCTTACACACTTTCCCTACTACGTCTGCCGAGACAGTAGTAGTTATAATATAATAATAATATTTATTGGCTTTTATTGCGCAAATATCAATCCAGGAAAAGAAATTTTCATCTGCGCATGACATTGACTTAGCAAAATTCTATTCGATAAAAATGTTCGATAGAAGCAACTCCATCAGCCTGGGCAGAGTACGCCTTAGTGAGAGTCATCGGCATGACAATGAACAGCTGGGAGGTGCTTTTCGACGACATCAAAAAAGTGCGCTTGCATAAACTGTAAAGAGAAGTAGATCAAGACACGAGCCCTGAGGAACGCCATGCCGCAGGTCAAACGGCGCCCCGAACTGAGACTTGCTTGATCGGAACCAGTCAAGGACAGTACCATTCAAACCAAGTTTTGACGATAATCTGTCAAGGAGAATGCTGTGATTAACGGTATCGAAAGTAGCACTGAGATCAAGCAATAGAAGGATAGTAACGTACTGCTTGTTCATTTTTTACAGAATATCGTTCGCGGTAACTTTTAGAGGTGCTGTTTCAGTGCTGTGATTTTTTCTATGAGCAGACTGCGCAACTGGGTGTAAGTTATTACTAACTGGGTGTAAGTTATTACTAACCAGGTGACCATGAATCTGATTGAAAGCATCCCTCTCAATGAGTTTAGACACAAAAGACAAGTTACTTATGGGACGGAACATCTTAAAGATGACATCAAGACCGGGTTTCTTTAACAATGGAAAAACTAGAGCTTCTTTCCAAATGTCGGGAAAAGGTCCGGACTGCAATGAATTGTCGATGATTTTTGTGAGAACTGGGACGAGATCCTCACATTTGCTAACCAATGTGGATGGCATAGGGTCAAGAGAGCAGGATTTAAGGGCTGCGTTCTGGATAAGCTGTTTAACATCTCGAACTGATAGCATCATAAATGTAGGGAATGATGGCACAATCTCATCAAGAACAGCAGACGGAGCGTCATCTTCTGAAATTGAATCATTCTGCTGAGCAGCAGCCGGAGCGTCATCTTCTGAAAGTGAGTCATTCTGCTGAGCAGCAGACGGAGTGTCATCTTCTGAAAGTGAATCAGTCTGCTGAGCAGCAGACTGAGTGTCATCTTCTGGAAGTGAATCAGTCTGCTGAGCAACAGACTGAGTGTCATTTTCTGGATTTGAATCAGTCTGCTGCTCGGTGTCATGCTGCGTTCGGATCGCATCGATCTTCTGAACAAAGTATTTCCCCAAATCGTTAGAGAATGTTCTACTGTCCAGATTAGGTGGGAGACGTGGGTTATAAGGTAAATTATAATCGATCGTATGACTTCCAAAGATAGCAAATTCATAGCTTGGTTATAAAACAGGTGAGAACTTCAATTAAACTCATTCGCAGCGCTCCCTTGTAACTGTTTTACAGCATTAAAAGAGAAAAGTCCCATTTAATATTCGCTATACCAACCGAAAATCCTTGAATAAAATGGAGCAATTTTTCAATGTTTACAACTGTAATAAAACCTAGCTCACAAAAATTGGCATTGCTCAGGGCATTCATAATTAAGTATATTGGGAAGTCTCCTTCAAATTTGTAGTTATTAATTTATTCCTTTTCCTGTTTGTTCCATTATTAACTAAACACTATTTATAGCGGTAGATACAGTAGAAACCCGCGATATCGAATCTCCTGCTAACTCGAACAAGAGCCCTTTTTACCCTGAATTAAACCTTATTTTTCCTGTCATTTACCATCAGCAAACTCGAACTCGGTGTATTTGGACTCCCCGCCAAATCGAAGTAATTTTATTTCCGTCAGCCCAAATTTATCCTGGTATCTTAGACTTAAAGTAAAAACGACAGCCGATAAACGTCAAAGTGTCAGAACTTGGCTGATGAAATGGTCCATGAACTTAACAGATGTCCAACCACATTTCTTGGAATAGACAACATGACAAACGGCTACCATGGAAAATAAGAGAAAAAGTTTACCCAAGATAAAGTAAATAGAGATGTGTTTGGTTTTTTAAGAGCGTGGGACTAAGTAATAATTGGAGTTTCTATAGGGGAACGATTTTTAGGCCTTCAGATCTTGCGCTCCGATGTTACACCAATGAGCCACAGACTATGATGCCCAAGTGTGTTACAGAGTTCGATGAAAAAAATACATTGTCGGGAAATTGGTGTGTTATTCATACAGTGAGACATTATTTTAGATACCTAGCACATGTTTCTGAAAAAGTCAATAATTACTTAATCTTCTTTACTAAAAGCTATCGAGGATCTCTTAATTAAGATGTCTCTCCGAATGGGAGAGAACTTGCAATGGGTTGAGTTCACCAGTCACCCATTGTCTCGTATCCATCACCGTGATAGAGATGTCAGTAATTAAAGCTCTCTGATCAGTCTGCATCATCCGAAATTAAACTCTGATCGCCGAATAGGAGTTTGCAGACTTGAAGAAACCCCTACGGCGACAACAACGAAAACGTTCCGAAAAAAAATTCAATTGGCATAACAGCTCTGCATGTGCGTTTTAAAACTTTGTACACTTCCTGGCCGTCCAGAGCGAAACAACGTCAAAACAACAAATTTAACGTAGTCTGAGAACGAGAGCCTTGACGGTAGATCACTCACTTTTCCACTTTAAATTCAACCCTGCATTCACATGTGTTGCTGAAGGTAAGATCTAGTTACACTTAAGACTGTTAACATATCGAGCTACAAAGATGAACATAGTACTGGGAACTAAGTCTAACAATACAAAGCCAGTAAGGAACCAAAGTGCGGTCAGTTTGCTCGAAGACCTTCAAGGGGGAAAAGAGAGGACCCTGGAAACGAGGAGTATGCTGAAACGAGTTACGTTACTATAGTCGTCATTCGTCTAGGGAAAGAGAAAGGTTGAGATTTACACTAAGTGATTCGTTAAAACTCTCCAGGGCGTCCATGAACTGAATGTTAGTCTTGCGATCATCTTTTTAAAGTATCAAATGGAGAGGACTCTTGGACCAATAGAATAGAGTGGACTAAGACATCAAAAGTGAAAAAGTTGCAGCCTTCTTTGGTGAGGATCACATGAAGTGCTTGGACAGTTTGGCTGTTCTGTAATCAACTCGAAGTTGTACAAACTGTTGTAAAACAGCTTTGTCTAGCGTTGCCTAAAACAAAACAGGAGGAATAGCGTTAAGTTTCATGTACAGTATTTGCGTGAAGGTTTGGCATCGAGCTGCCTCCGAAAAGAAGAGTACATCCTGCTGAAGCCGTATAAATCTATCACTGTCTTTAAAAAGCGAATCAAAAAATTCCCTTCTCATAGCGTTTTAGAGATTCCCGGGTAACTTAACCATTCCAAACTACATTCAAACGAGCTGAAAAGTCAACTGCGACCATTACCATTAACTCTAACCTACTTCTGCAGTTTAAAGTAAGCACTACACGAGCCTCAGGAAGACATATCAGAAAGTTTTTTCAAACTTTTGAATACCAAACCGAAAACAGAGTTGTTCATTCACATACTTACCAATTGCTCTTCTGAACAGACTTGTTTCAGGTTTTCTGGTTGGACGACTAATAAGTTCGTGAGCGAGTATAACTTGTCAAATAATTTGACTAACAGGGGGATCTAATGAAAAAATAAAAAGGATCAAAATTATCATTTACTACACGGGGCTGGGTTGTAAAAAACGACATCAATTAAAACTAATCAATACAGGGTTGATGTGAAGTTAAGTAGCTTTGCACGCAGCCCCACAATTTCGTTCATGTTTTCTTCGTTCAGACTTGCACTTTGATAAAACCCCCTCGAGAGTAACCGTCCATACACCATTTTATACATGAAGAATCAAACATCATAACGTTTACTCCAGCACTTACCGTCTTTCGAACAACCGGCCCCTTGGAACACAAAGGCGCACTAGAATGCACAACGCTATATAACATGTCTGAACAACAATTCTCCCCTAAAACATTCATTCTATAGGGTGTGGGAGGCTAGGAACACTGTAGTGGCCTGAGATTAAGGCGTTAAAATTCAGAACGAGTTGTCACTGGGTACGTTCTGAAACGGGGTAGTTAAATTGCCCTCTGTTCATCCTGTTCCACTTCAATAAGGAGAATAAATGGGGACTGAAAAGCCAACAGGCTAACACGACAGTACGAATATTTTTAATTACCTTGAACTCCTTGATACAGCTCCTGTACTCGCTTATATCGCATATTGCCACCATTCCTCCTAAAAAAAAAGACACGACAATGAACACAACGCTCACTTAAGTAGCCATGACAAGTGTGTGTCTTTTGCAATAAGAACGAGTGAGGCGCGTTCTTCGAGCTAAGAAGAGCATGAAATGAGAAAACGTCAAACGTGAAACGAAACGAGCGTGAAACAAACATTGTTTACCTATTGAAGTGTATTGAAACTGTTGTAGATGTTCAAACACCTGACGGTGAATTCGTGTGCCGAATTCAGTGAGAACCGACTCCAAGTTCTTTCCATCCATCGATTCCTGGATGAACTTCCGCTGGGAATAAATGAATTCACAAGTCTTGGCGCACGCCTGTCAACACACAACAAAGAAACATTAATAACACACGAGGATATCAGATGAAACGTACTGCATTTAATTATAGATCCTTTGCATTTTCGAAAAAGAAGTACCACAAAAGTGAAAAAAGACGTTTGCACGAAGGGGAACTGACGATCACTTTTTCTTTTTATTCTGTTGCAAACTTTGACCAGATCGCTGAAGCGTACTTTGCTATCAAATCGTATGGCGTTTGCAGAACATCTTCTGTGTGAAGGGATGTTTTAAGGAACAACACGAACTCACTGCTCACAATCCCCAAAGATCAAAGTGGACTTCTCACAGATGAAAATGAACGGATACATCTATGACCTAAACCCTTTACACCCTAACATCAGTATGCACATTCTCCATACCGATTTCTTCACATTTCCTAGGGAGCCGACAAGGAGAATTTGTTTAACAATCAAGAGCTTCTTTAGTTGGTGATTATTTCCTTTATTCTCATGACCTTAATGTTTGATTCAGGTGTGATATTGTAGTGAGAAATTAGATGCTTGACACTCTTGGGGGGGAGGGGGGGGTGGGGGTGGTTATGAGTTAAAATAGCCTTTAACCCTTCTCCTCTATACCCAGATCTCGCGCGGTCAAAAAACCCAATGGAACCTCCGTAACCGCTCTCCAATAACTACTGATGATGAGTTTTCTTTACACTTTACAGTTTTGATAACAATTCAGTACCGTCGTCCTCTCCACAAGTCCTACTCCATGTTCTTCAGGTCTAAAATCTGATTTCTTCTGCTCTGTTGACAAAATATTCTTAATCCAACCTGACATTGACGTGAGAATCCTGCAAAACACAGTGGTATGATTGGTAACTGATCATAAAACTCAACGTCTTCTTTCTTCAAAATATATATCAATTCACTGCTAAGCATATAGGAAACGATAAAATAAATTTATAACAACTAGCCGAAAAACTAAGATGTAAATAAGTACGGCGTATTCGGAAGCACGACAAACTTTCAAAACAGGAGAGAGAGATGGGAGGGGGGGGGTTGGGGGGAGAGGAAAATGCAAAACACAGAATATAAGATGTCTTAACCTTCACGGGAGTGAAAAGTTATGCTCAGTGAGTGTACTAATGTAATTTTACTAAGGTTCTCAGAAAGTTTCGGTATCACTGTAAGCTGATATCCATGGCGAGGAGGGAAACGTTTTGGCGACTTAAGTTGCAGAGTGAGTCGAAATAAACGTCCATGGCACATGTGACATAACTCCTAGAAGAGCAGATACCCTGAGATTAAAGAGAAATTACATACACATGTATAAGAAAACTCGATTCTCGAAGTGAAGCCTAGAAACTCTATCCACGATCCTCGAATGTTTCCAGAAGCAAAGTTCGTGTTAAGATTATCAACTTAAAATTTAGCGATAATGCAGTTTACGGTGTAGCCTGTGCCGGGGATAAAAATACAAAAACCTTACCGGTCTATACCAGAGTCCAGTTTGCTTTCCATCATTTCCATTATTGCCTTCTTCTTTCGGACGCATTCGGCATAAACTGGCGAAGATCTGTGCAGAGGTTCTCATAGCGTTTTTAATATTGTAAACAATGACATGAGTACGTTTAACGGAAGGCATTAAGTTGAGATCTGGTTTAGTGGGTAAAACTAGTCGAACCCGCAAACAAAATTCATCTAGGCATCCATTTAACTCGGTGACTTCTCAATAGAGCAATTTTAAATTGAAATTCGACAAATATCCGAGCATTGGTATTGCTATACTTCGCTCGATGATGATTCAGAAACTCGTACCACTCTCTCAACCAATCAGATGCAAAACTAAAACCAATCACGACTTCGTCACCCGCGTTTTCCCGCGCTTTAAGAAGTTTACTTGTTTTTTCCTTTGAGTTCTCATTGGCTCCTAAGAGTCTTTTCCTTCCTTAACATTGGCAGCTGTGATTAATTTTGTTTTCGTTTTCTAACACTCAATCGGAAAGCGCTCTGACACATCAAAATGTTAAGAGCCATAACTTTCTATTAAACCGCTAGCTGGCACTTGCTATCGAGTTTGATGTCGTAAAACCTCAAACTACCTTCAATATTGTGCATCAAATACTCACGCGACTAGTCCTATCACACAGTCCGTGAAATGTTTCTCAAACAGATGAAAGATGGCATTGGCTTGCTCAGACACTTTGAAAAACAGGCTCTCCGGCGGTGCCTTAGGTTCCGCTGAGGGTATTGCTACCGAATAAAAAATTGGTTTTAAACTTTTATTAAAAGAGGGAGCCAAAGGAGACTTGGAGCAGTGAAGCAATTCCTTAAGAATCCATTTAATTCTTATCTCCTTCATAAAGAGGCACATGCGAAATAAACTCTGCGACAATTGTCTTGCTCAGCAACCCATGAAGTACTAGAGGCCCAGCTTTTTTCCCCACCGCTTGGTAATCTTTTTGAACAATTAGGAGCCGCACAAAAAAAGTATTCTTGACTTTCTTTTGTGGAAACCGGGTGAACAGTTGTTTGTGAACAGCACGATGAGGTTTCGACGCGCGGCCATGACAATTTTCGATCGGTTAAGTTACTCTTTGGAATATCAAACGCGGTTGAATATGAGTAATTTATACCAACTATGGTCCCATCACTTGACGATCTCTTTGAAGTAACAGGAGCTGCATACAAAGGTATTTTTAACTTAAACAATTTTCGTTTTCGAAAACTAAAGGAACACTCTTTTTTGGAACAGTGGTTTGGCGTGTCGGCCAAGTTATAATCATAAACGTGGCGTTCGCAATTGAATTTTTGAATATTCAAAGACAATTTTTGAACAATCTTTGGAATCTTAAAACGCATCTTTAACGGACAAAAATTTCCTGACTCAGTTGACTACTTGTATTTGATAAGATACCTTGCAAGGTGACGTTGAGTGCGTAGTCAATGTGCTCGGTACACAGATTGTATAGCAGTTTTTGATAGATTTCCACTCCATTTGCTGCCATGTCAGACGGAGAAGACAACTACAAGAAAAACACTTTACATTAGAGTGTGATATATAAGAGGAAATTCAAATATTTGATTAGGGATCGAGGATCCCAGTATGTTAGTCTCTCATCATTTACCGTATTTCATTCCATGATAGGCCCTCCTTAGGAAGATTTCAATAAACTTGAGGGTTTCTAAGCAACCCATTCCCGTTCGGATCTTAACTTCCGTGACCGAATGTGCCAGGAGAAACATTCGCAGCTCCGCTTTTTCGCTAGGATACATCTTTATATAAATTTGACATCACTTATTGTATTTCATTCTTTGATAGGAAGCTTGAGACAATGTGTGCTTTCAGTCTCTCTTGCACTATATATCATACATCGATGGAGATTTGGGCAAGCTATTTTTCCCAGATTCAAATATTTTGGGTAATAATTGATTCAGTTTCGATTACTGATTAAACCGGCTTTGGGCCTTTGCCCTCTGCCATTTTTACTCCAGATCAATGTGTTTGTGTGATTTTTATGTGCCCAGTAAACGAGCCCGGGAGATGCAGCCCAGTATTTTAGTTACTTAGCAAGCTGGATAGGGGGAAAAAGCATAAAAACAGAATAAAGGAATACAAGGATTTCATCACCCTCACCAGCTCACATCTTTTCAAAGCCATTTTATTTTCTTGCAAAAGACTAACAGCCACATCTTGAGACAGAAGAGTAGTCTCTTTACTGGAGTCCATGGAATTCGCGTGCATTCTGAGTGGTATCCTTTTGGTCAATTCCGTACTCAAAAGACTGAAAACAAAATCGAGAAACCGGAAAATCATCAGGGAAAAAATATTCAGTATTTCAAGAAGAGAGCACATTGATGTTTTAATTCAAATCTGATTTGGTGTCCAAAAAATCCTCCGACTAGTTCCAATCCTCTCGCTTTAATTTTCTTCGCTCGCCCTTGCTTCACGCTCGTTTCCACAAACCGAATTCCTAAAATAGGCTTAAAGCTGCCAGAGGAGGTTTATAAACTAGACATCAAAACTCATATTTAATAAACATAACAGTCTACACACGTACCTCGCACCAGTGATCCTGTCCCTTTTTTCATGGTTTATAGAATGGTAGTACTTCTCCAAAATAGCAGCTGACTTCTCTGACAGGAAAGTTAACTCTGTTCTATGACACAAAAGTAGTTATGTCAAGTATTGTTTATGTTGTACAGTACAAACAGCATGAATCAAGAACTTTTAAAAAGGGGCTCTGAAAGAACTGTGAGTGCTCAGTGTACAAATTAGACTACGAGCAGTCCCTACTTTTCGGCATAGTCCCTTGCGCGAGTTCAAACAAAAAAAAGCAGTTAAAAAATTGATGTAAGCGCGCTGCGCATAACGCTAAGAGCGAGGCGCACGAAATGAAGGGCCCTCCCTCCCCTGAATCCGCGCGCCGCGCTTATATTAATGTTTTCTTTCCTTTTTTTACTGATTGATGTTTTTCAGATTCGCGCGCGACGTAGTTTTAGACAATTTCACAACTAACCTTTTTTGGCATTCGCAGTTACCTGTGTCAACATTGTGTTAAGGAGCATTAATATAGGAGCACAGTGACAATGCATTCCCTTCATTGGGAGTGGAAAAGAAACCTATCTAACTTGCTGTTAAGTGGCACCCACTTGATGTAAGATGATAAGTATTCACTGAATAAATTTTTTCTCAGTCTTTCCAGAAAATTGGAATCTGATCCAAGTTTGTAACCAGAGAGTTTTTCTCCAAGTTTCTTGGCCCTGTAAAAATGGATAAAATAGTAAGAGATGTCAAGTTCAGTAGAAATGGTCAAAATACTGCCACTTGATAGTGCAAGAAATATAGCAAAAATAAGGGTCAAAAAAGGAAACATTATATCCTGATTATTACCTTTCGTACAAGGTCTGAAGGTTTTTCAGTGACTGTTCCTTGTCTGAGCCATAGTTTCTGAGTTGAGAATCCACATGTTTCTACAATGAAAAAATAAGTCAATTTGTTTGTAATAAAGGGTAGATGATGTTGAGTACTATAAAACACTCATAACTATTTCATGTGTAAACAGAATGGGAGAAAGTAATCAAGATACTGATAACAAAAACAAAAACAAAAACTTTTCAACGACTTGTGAAAATCAAATGACTCGATTTATACTGAAGTTTTTCAAGAAGAAAACTATGATTCTGAAGATTCTTTTCACTGGATGGCAATTAGTTTGAAAAAGATAAATGTGAAAAAAAGACGCCACAAACGAGGATTATTAATACCTTGAGCACATCCTCATGAATATTCTGCACTAGCTTTCCCATTACAACTTCAGCATTATTGCTAAAAACTTTGTTAACCATGCTATGAACCCGTTCACAGAGCGGTATCACATCTTGAAATACATCAGAAGACAGGAACTGACCCTTTAGTGGAACAAAATAACATGAGTATCATGATAACACATGAGAAAAAAAAAAGAAATGACCTGATAGATATTTTCCTTAAACTGTTCTTTTCATTTTCATTTTCACTTCCCTTCAGTTAGATTCTTAGGGAGGATACTTTCTAGCCTGTAGTGCAGTCATGTTAGCGTTACAAGCTCGTGATTCTTTTCGGGTCGGCCATGTTAGATATAAAGTTGTAGTGGATGGTGCGGGGGGGGGGGGGGGGGGGGGTAGGGGGGAGTGAGGAAAAATGAAAAGATTTCACCACCCCCTCCCTTTTCTTTTAACCACCCCTGACCACTTTGGTACAAATTTCTTTCTCTCACCAGTATTTCACAAAAAAATTAAAGGCGATCTTCTGACATGGTGATTTTGTAAATGCACTTGTCTAACTGACTATGAATAGAAGCCATATATACTGGTCAGGAGGTAATATACTTTACCTTCTGACTTTGTCTGATAAAGGAATCAATGCAGTGAGAGTAGCCCTGTGGAAAAGTAATTCATTATTAAGAAAAAAATGTCACTCAGCAATATATATCAGAGTTTTATATCACAAAGCCTTTCTCAAAGAGTGTCTTTAAATGACATGATTAGCACCAAATGATCATCAAGGATTGAAACAATCAAGTCCTTGAGCCACCAGTAACTAAACAACCAACAAGCACAAGAATAAACAATGATTGAATAGCCAGCAGCTGACTCACTACGCACCTTGAAGGGAAGCAATGTCTCTGCACAATCTCTCATACCACTGATATTTCCCTGATGATGGGCTTCTTCAAATTCTTCAATCAAAGCGACTTCCACTTTATCATGGCATTCTGTATGGATAAACCTATAGTTACTTAACACTTCAACACCCTGAAGTGCTAAACAAGTAAACTGCTTCCCATAATATCCATAAATTATCCAGGAAACAGGTACTGAGCATACTCAAACATATCTAAGTTAGAAGTTGTTTACAAAGAAAACAACTTCAGAATAAGTAAGTATTCCTTTTCTAATTTCTTAATCATTACAGTTTGCCACTGCTATATTTCAATTAATCAAAACACTAATGAAAAGTATGGAACTGCAGCTACAGGATCTCCCTACTAACAAGCAGACTTAAAAACAAGTAAATGCCATAAACTTGCATCTTATATGAGTAACAGCCCAGGTCATATGTTCAAGTACAGTGGCAGTTGTATTGTATATTAAAGCCTACATTGCATACCTACCTTTGATTCTTTCTTGGACATCTTTAAACCTAAAACCAAATAAATTGTACTTAGTGTGGTCGCTTTCCATTTCTTTAAAAACAATGTAAGCATTTTTAATCTCTTGATATGATCACACTCAAAATCTCAAGCAGAGTAGAACTTAAATTAAAACTTTATTGAAGGAATAATTATTTCAAACTGACTCATCTCTGTCATGCTTTCAAAGGTGCTATTTCTAACCCCTTGTATCATTAATTATATAAAGAAATTAAAAGTACATCACTTGTCCTACCTCTCAGCAGGAAGTTCGTGGGCAATAAGTGCCAGCTTTTGTATGATGTTTGCTGCTTCATGAATCTGCAGCAAAAAAGGAAAAAAGTTAAGTGTTGATTTGCCACTAGAGTTACAGTGTATCACTTTGTGAGATCTATTTTTTTTCTCATGGAGCTTATTTTTCTGCCATCAAGGGCTGTCTGCAAAACTGAAAACTCCTAAAATTCCCTACAACAAAGTTGTTACAGGCACTCCACTGCTCAGAATCTAATAATCCAATAACCTCTTACCCTAAACTGGTCACTAAACACAGTTGAAACATGTTTTCCTGTAGCAAACTCATCGAAATATTTCATGAGTTCTTGCGCCTCAATCGCTCTGGACCTTGGAGTGTTGATTCCTTCCAACTGGTCTCCCAGATGAACCACTTTGGTAGCCACATAGTTTATTCGGTCATCCAATTCTTGAAAGAGGGAAGATGCAGTCTACAAGAAAAGTTAATGATATATGAATAAAGTCTCATTATCAAAGCTCACAAATCAGACTAGTTTTAAATCTAATTTTACCCTGGAATATTTAAACAAAATATATCATATACAGTCAGAAGACCAGTTAGATATCTAGACTGTACTGCCTGCATATTTGTTGTGGTTCAATTTTATCCTTGGTTCAAATTTTATGTTTCTTTTGTTTTTGGGTGTTGTATTGTATGATAATGAGTTTGAAACAAAGGAAAATAAAATTTGAACCTAGGATAAAATTGAACCACAACATATACACACCAAAAATCACATGCAATTGACAAAGATAATTTGCTTGAAAATCAAGAACTTCTTGAAATGGTGATCATTTCCTTTATTGTCTTGACATTACAATTGATTCAAAGTTGAAACTGTAAGGAGAAATTAGAAGCCAATCACTCTTAGAAGTTAAAGGGTTAACAATTACCTTAAAAGTTGATTCCAGTTCTCGAGATTTCTGTTTGTGTTGTTCCTGTTCTTTCCCACAGAGTTCTTCAAGTTTGTTAATTCTTCCCTGCATCTTCTCATCTAGAGCTGTCAGTTCTTTAATAGTTTTTTCAAACACGTCACACAAAGTTCTAGGATCAAAAGCTCCAGCTCCACCTTTTGACCCTCCACCATCCACAGTGCTTGCCAGACGCTCCACATATTCATAAGCATCAAACTCCCCCTATTGTTTGCATTGAAGCAGTAGAGGTCACAGTGCATATGAACTAGACTGATAACTCACATCTGACAAATGCCAGTAAGTCATTATAGATTATAACACAATTTTGAGACTGTGTAATTTGGTTTTAATAAGCATGTGTAAATTTATCACAGACAACAAAGTTAAATGTGCCCATAAGGTGAATGCAATTTGTATTCTTTGAAAAATTTATAATTTCGACAGTGTGCGCTTTTTGCAATTTGTAATTGTGTCACAACTTTGCACCCATGTTACATAAAAAATGCACTCGTTTTCAGCCATTCAGATGTGCATCATTTTTTCATGGATAGTATTATGGTTGATAGCAAGATACAGTGTAAGGGCTCAAAGGAAAAATTAAAACTTCAAGAAACATTAAATGTTTGGTTGTTTAAAAGATTTGTCAACAAAATGAATATCACTTAAATGACCTTCTTGTAAATTTGAAGTGATCAATATATGATAAGTTGATAGGTCTATATATTCGGGGACAGATGCACAGATGACATCACCCCCAACAAAATTTTGGTTTGTAGTCACATAAAACAAATAGATTCCACGTTGCAGTGGGTCTGTACAGTAGTAGATCGCAGATGACGTCAAAATGTAGTAGTCAGAGCATCATTGACAAACTTGGCTCCACCTCAAGTGCCACTTTTTCTGTTCTTACCACATTTGATGTTATCTGTAATCTTTTACTGAACAGACTCACAGCAACATGGAATCTGTTTGTTAATCAGTCAAGTTTTACAAAGGCTTGGATTGGGGTCAAACGAGTTATTTCCTTTACCAAAAGATCTGGATAGTAGCAGATATGCCACAAATTTAAGAAAATATGTGGCATTTTTTAAAAACATATTTCGACAGTTCTTCAGTCATCTTCAATTTTGATTTATACTAAGTACAAGGTTGAATTTAAAGTGTATAACAAAATGCTGATTGGACAAAACAAACAATAGAAACAAAACAATGTATGCAATTATAAGGAAAGTTTCGAATGCTAATTTAAAAAAGTCGTTAATTTTCTTAAATTATTTAATTTAATATTATATTGAAGATTAATATGAAACAATCAGTTTCCCTCCTTTTCAGTCCAACAAGAATAAGCAAAACCTACTCTTATAATCTAAATATTGAATGCAAAAAAAGGAAACACTTTTCTAAGGGGCAGTTTGAGAGATCATTTACTTAAAAAGAAACCTTTTGATATTCAAGATCGGAGGAAGTTGGTGACACACACAATAAATTCATCTCTACAAGCTTTTAAGTCTCTAATAAAGCCCTGTATGACTGAAATACAACAAACCTCAAATTCTTCAAATGAAGCCATCCTGGAATAAGAGATGTGAGGGATTTATAACGCCAACATGTCGAGCTTCCGTACAACTCAGACACTTTGCGATACACCGCCTCTCTCCGCCATGTTTGTTTTCGAGCGCCGTCATTAACTGGTTCCTAGTCTCCCTCGTAAAACCCGAAGGAACGCCTTGCAGATTTACAGGTGTCAAAGTTAACACATTTGATTTATTTGTAAGGATTAATTATTACAAGATACGGAATTACTCCACGTCGATCTTAACTCAAGAAGAACCACCTGTTACAAAACATTTAACAAACCAGTCAGCCAGAGACTGGAGTACTTCCGGGGGAAGGACACAACAGTTACATTGCGTGACCTTATCATTTAATACTTTGCATGCTTGAGTAACTTCGTCGATGTATGAACCCGATGATCAGCGACTTGTTGACAATGATACACTTTCAGATCTTAATATTAACCTGAACAAGATGGATCAAGCTTCTAATAACATTGCGGTGACAGAGAGTGCAGTAAACCTGACAGAAAATGAAGACGAAAGGTGACTTCAGCTTAGCAATTTGCGCTTTGGTCTGAAATTTATCAGTGGTGCTGATAATGAAATTCAAACGGAATTAAACGTCGCGTCTGATTTCTACAATCCAGCTTTTATGATGCTGTCGCATGATCATCGCAATACATAAGATCTGTTATTTCAATTGAATGAAATTTTTTGAAGAGTGTGTTGTTTTCATCTGTAGGCCTTGTAACGATCACAGAGAACAGCTTTGTGAAATTCTTCACAGCAGAAGGGCTCAATATGTCATCATAACATTGGTTGTCGTGGATATGATCATTGTTATTGCGGAATTACTCATTGACTTGAAAGCAGTTGAAGGTAGGCACTTATCTATCGACGATGGTGTTTTCATTTGTTTTGATTTTTTATTTAATGCCTTGGTAGCAAAAAAATAGCTTTTTAAAACATCGATTGAATTGTTACCACAGTGCTTTGTTTGGGTGAGAAGACTTCCGCTTACTTGTGACAGTTGTTTAGCGATCGAGTAGTGTAAAATTACAGGAAAAAGTGAAGTGCTTTCTTTTAACAGTTAACCCTTTCACTCCTAGGAGTGACCAAACACATATTTCTTTTCACAAGATAAATTCATTTTCAAGATCAAGATCAAGCATTTTCACCGATCTGTGTCAATCACAATTTTGCTTGCTAACCATAGAATACACCTTGTGCCTTTGCTGTTAGTGTTAATGTGTTTATGTAAGTGCAGTCAAACCTGTATTAAGCTGAACAGTATTAACCCTTTAACTCCCATGAGTGACTGAGACAGAATTTCTCCTTACTATATCTATACAATATCATGCAGACAAGTGATGAGAATAAAGAAAATTATCAATCATAGGAGTACTAAATGATCAAATAACAAATTCTCCAAACTAACATAATAAGAATCATTTGGTAGACAGTAAGGAGAATTACTTGTGAGATCATGGGAGTAAAAGTGTTGAGCAGTCACCCTGTATCAAGTGGTCAGTTGTCCCCCAATTAGGAGGTCACAACAGTCTATTTGTTTTGTCTTCCACTTGAATAGAATATTCATTTAAAATGGAACCACTGATAAAATAAAATTAGGAACAATTTCCATTATATAGTTTATTCCATTTTACGTCATGGAATCAGTGTTAGTACTTTGAGTTCAAATACCCTCAACATATTGCAGATTGTTTTTCTTCTTTGAACTATTAGGACAAATATTACACATAAACATCATGCAAGTCTACCTGTATTACACAGTCACCTTACCATTCCTCATGGGTGCCTGCTCATTACAGATTCAACTGTTTTGTTAAATAAATGACTATTTATGTTGTTGACCCATACATGGAATATTACTTTTTGTTACAGTTCACCATGAGAGTCATGCACCACATATCCTGCATTACATCAGTATTGCCATCCTTTCAATCTTCATGATTGAGGTATTATTAAGATTAATAAGTTACTCATAACCTCAGTGTTCTTTAATGCTCTGCATATGTTTTCCTTAACATCACCCTTTAGCTGATGAATTGGTCTGTTCTTAATGCTTGTTTGCAGGATAAGGATTTCACATCAGAAGGAGAAGTCAGATATAAATCACTTCTGAGAGTTAGAGGATTAAAATAATTAATTTTGATACACAAAAATTTATGATGTAAAAATGATTGATTGTAAGTTCTTTCTTCTTTTTCTCTGTTTAGTTGTTTGTAAAGATCTATGCTATGGGACTCACATTTTTCAAACACAAAATGGAGGTTTGTGCATTTACATTCATTGGAAACCTGTATGTATCAAACAGGCAACTGAATTGAAAAATTGTTGCTTGTGCCTGCTTGATGCATGGTTTCCACTTGATAGAGGCTTAAATGGCCTCATGAATTTTTTCAGTCAAGAAAAGGGTCATAATTAACTGATGGATGGCGCTTTATTACTTGCATAAATTTTATATACCCTTCCCTTCCCCCTGTTGATCCTGCATTAGATTATTGATCTGCCCCTATTTTTGCACCAGCCTTGCTGCTCCCTCCAAGGGAAAATTTTGTCCAGTCTATAATAATCATTTGTCATACCCCAATTAGAACAGAGTCAGTCTTAAGGCTCATTGATAATTAACCCTTTTCCTCCCAAGATTGGATTGTTAATTCTCCCCTCTTCCCTCCTGGTGACACATACACTTAATGATGGTTTTTGTGGCTGCGCAGAAGGGGTATGCATGAATACAAGTTTAGGTTACAGGAAATATGGGGGAGAAAACTGGGATTTAGACCAGCACTTGCTTCATACCAGAAGTCAGTGAAATATGGAGTCAGTGAGATATGGGTTCCACTGAAATAGGTCTTGATCTAAAGTATACATGTCAAATAGTTAAAAGTGATGAGAATTTATTGAAAATTATAACAAATTTATCATGATTGTTTTCTAGATATTTGATGGAATTGTAGTTACAGTATCGTTTGCCTTGGATATTGCTTTCAGGTTTGTGGATTAAGTCTAGGGCTGGTTATTGTTTTGTTTTTAAGTTTCTAGACCAATACCATTGTGTCAGCTGTATTATCATGTGTTGTGCTGGATTCATGTTACACTAAATAACTTTGTTTTGCTTTGACACGGATTGGATGGATTGAGATAAGTTGATGTCTGCTTAAATTTTATTGTTACAGTGGAAAGGAGGGAGCTGTTGATGGAATAGGTCTTATTGTTCTCCTTCGGCTTTGGAGAGTCACAAGAATTGTCAATGGTAATGTTTTACTTTGCATAAAATTAATAAATTGGTACAAAAGCATCCTACAAGAATCTGAGGGCACCCATTGTGTTGTTCTAAATACATGTATAATTATCAAAAATTATCCATTTTATTAACCCATAACATAAGTATGCATATTCTCCATACTGTTCTCTTTAAATTTCCTAAGGTGCTGATACATTAAGGTCATGAGAAGAAAAGAAATGATCACAACAAAGAAAGTCTTGATTGTTGAACAAAATTTTCCTAGTCAGTGTAAATGTTTCTTTTCAAGCTAGAGTTGAATCTTAGTTCTTGGGTTGATACACTGGCATACTATAGACACTAAACCTATAGAGGGTCTTTCTTTCTTTACTCTTTTTCCTTTTCCTTGGTGCAATCCTATATCAAAATTGTCAAATGAAATTATTACATGAAGAAATAACCAAAGTATTGAGCAATCATAGCCTCAAAAATAATCTCAACTTTGGAAACGAGCTTGTTGCAATTAAAGGAACCAAAAAGAAGGTAAAGACTAGTGATAAGTTTCATTTTTAATCACACCTAGGTAACTTAATTGAAAAATAAGTTGCTGCTTACCAATGTTGGCGGGTCTTGATTACTAATAATTGAAAATTAAAGTCTGAACTTCTCTTCTACTCCAGAAATGATCTTGATAACACAGGGTCTTATCCTGCATTGAAACGCTAATTATAATTTATTATCTAGTAAAAAGCACTTATCACGGTGGCGTCAATCTAATCAGAAAATATTTTGCAGCTTTTGTTGGCAGCAGTAACATTTAGATTTCATGGAAACGGTTACAGTCAGCGCTTTAGAAAATGAGTGGAGAATGGCAGGAGAATGTGCATACTGATGTTAGGGTGTAAAGTGTTTAAACAAATCCACATGTTCAAAGCAGGGCTCTTATAGTTTTGTTTTTGTTTGTCAGTCAGCCCCAAGAATGTTATACAGTCATGTAACATTGTGTGGGGAAATTTCAACAGGTATAGTTTTGTCTGTGCAAATACAAGCAGACAGGAAGATTGAAGTCTTGGAGAAGGAAAACAGTGAGCTAAAAGAAGAACTTGAACAGCTGAAATCCAAATGTGAACAGTTAGAGGTATTGGTAAAAATAATTTTAAATGAAAACATTATCTGAAATGAATATTTCAGCCCATGTTGACAATTTTTAATTGGTGACAGATGTGCAATGCAGCAAGTTAAGCAAATATGAAATATTTTATTTGCATTTATTTTGCTTTTAGGTTGAGCTGAAAACATTTAAACATGAGACAGGCCCTGATGCAGTCAATGGAAATCAAATTTGAGAAACATTAAATCTGATTAGTAACCTGATAGCCAGACAGAATGAAGACCTGCTGGCCAACTGAATGATTGACTGACTAATCATTAAAAGGACTGACTGACTGACTGACTGGATTACTGGATGACGACTGACTGATAAATAGATAGAGAGAGGGAAGAACAGAAAAATATATACGTGGGAATTTCTGAACAAATGGCTTGTGAATTATGTTTTGCATTGTACGAAATACGTGAAATTTTGTTCTTGGGTAGATAACTATTTTCTTAGAAAAATTTTTCTAATTTATATTAAATTATCATTATTCAATACCTACATTTATCAATTTTAGTATGATATCTTCAAAAATAGTCTATTTTATGCATATTGTACACCTGAAAATCATGGTTTTATAACAATCATTATTACTAATATTTAGAGGAATGAAAAATTCAAGTTTGCATTAGATTTTGCATTTTCACCTTTTTATTACTGATCTATTCAAGACTGAATGAAATTTGTTGGATTATCACATACCTTTAAAAAAAATTCATTTGATTGATTGTCTGAGCAGTCCACCCAATACAGATGGGATAGATTGACTCATGTGTTATTTTTTGAGAACGTAATATTTGCAATCCGATGCTTCACAGATATGCACATTCTTTGAAACTGTGTGATAGAAAGTTATTTTGGAATTCTAATACTTGAAAAAGCAAAGATGTTCCATTTCTTTTTTTTTTCTTTCTTTTCATTAATTTTATTTGTTCCTTTAGGTAGCTGTATTTTAATGTAGAAATGTAATTAAGGACATTTTATAACATTATAAAGTGAAGGTAAAGAGTTTTCGTAAATTGTGAAATTAAAGCAGTTTTTTAGTACTGAGTTTTAGCATTTTCAACTATTTTCAATTGTTATCTTTGCTAAATGTTATTGAAGAAATTTAAAATGGTTTCCGTGTTTACATAGCCTGATGTAAACACGCGGGAGGTTGGGAGAACACGAGATAAGCGTAGGAAACCACGACGCAAAGCGGAGTGGTTTCCAGCTTATCCAGTGCAATCAGAGCGCGCGTACTATTTGAATTATTTCTTAATAATTATTGTTAAACCATAGCATGGTCATTTCCGATCAGAGCAAAGAAAACATGACAAGAAGCCATTGAGAACACAGGGTAGAGAAAGAAGCACAAACTCTCTGAAGTGCGTGAAAAGGTACTTGAGCATGTCGCGGTTGGTTTTAGTTTTGCATCTGAGAAAGTGACGAGTTTTCTGGAGTAATCTCAGATCGAAATAAACAAACAAAACTAATTCAGGATTACCCGATATTATTGACATAAGAAAAAAAACTGTTTTGTCATAGGAGTACGTACAATACATTTAATGCTGGAACTGTTTAGTCCAAATTATGGCAACAAGAGGAAAAACGATGAGCGTAATACCCACCAACTATTGTCATTGTTCTTTACTGTTCTTTAGCAAACGCATTCTCAGATCACTCTGTCAAGTTTACTTCAATTTGAATTTTTAAACAATTTTTAATAAGTTTAGCATGTAGGCGAGAGAGACCGAAGAAAAAGGTGACTTATTTTTCGTTTTGTGTGTAAATAACGAATTACAGGTTTCCAGTTTCTTCAGCCAGGTTTGTTCGAAGAGTAGGATTGCCGGACGCGATCACTCATTGTTTTTATCAGCCTACGTGTAGCCAGACCCTTCCCCGTAAGGCTACACGTAGGCTGTTTCTATGTATTTAAAGTGTTTACTAAGCCAATTTTTAGTGTTGCTGAAGACGTCAGCCTTTGAGTAATTGTCTGTCTGATTGTATTGTCTAATCGAGTCGCAAACACGCGAAAATTTCCAGGTTTCTAGATAACAAAAAGAATAAGAATGTCTTCATCAAAGTCAGTTTTCATTCCGTCGCAGTTTTTGTACCCGCGCAGTTAACCTAATTACTTAAGAAATGAAGATCGTCAAAGTCATGTTGTTGATGTTTGCTGTATCGTTGGGATGGGGACGCGATCTTGAGCCTCAAAACACGAGGAAACAACCACAGGTAATGATTCTCTCTTCTGTCTCTTTGACTTTGGTAGAGTCGAAATAATACGGTCTACTGACACATGCAGAAAGTCTGTCGACTGTATCTATTGACACATAATATTCAGGATCATTCAATGCTTCTCCTCTGTTGAACAGATCGACCGATTTACCCCGCAAAAAGAATTCCATCCCATGCACTTAAAGCCCATCATTTTGATTTCGCGATTCACCTAAAAGAGGTTTTTATCAGAGCTTTTCTGGATTTCCTTTGGTGAGTTGTTTCTATGTTGCCTCTCCTAAGGAGTATCGAACACGTAATGAAATGTTCTTCAAGACTTTTAAGATTAGTCAACCTCGGCAGGTTACTTCAGCTATTTTTCTTATGGTTCACGTTTGTGTCTTTCATTTTTTGATGAACAGCTTGTATATTACAAATTCTTCACACCCATGAAGCTGATAGCAGAGGCCTCGTTCATCCATCACCACAACTCCATCACTCCTCGTCTTCTCACCTTTCTTAGCGCTCCAAGCCACCTCTATCGTCTAATGATTGTTCCTCTGATTCCTCCTGGAGTCATTGACGCAGATGCTAAACTTGTCGTCAAGATGGCGGTTGCTTTAGAAACAAAATATGGCCAAGGAGAAAGTGACCCCTCTTTCGCTGTTTCTGATAGTAATCGCTTCATTGGTGTGCTAACAACTGATAAATTGAATTACGCATCTTATAGTCCATGTCGTGGTATCGAAGGAGATAGCGGGCTAACAATAACGAAGCGTAATGCAGATAGCCCTCTCCCAAAGCCCTCCGAATCCTATTACCCAGGAAGATTCGACATCCATCTGAGCCTGTCTGACAGGTGGGGAACCTGTTTCATCTCGCACGATGGCGGCTTTAGCAGAGAGATGATTTATCAAAACAAGCTGAATCCTGAAAATGGCCTGTTCTTGGAGATCTATGGCGATGACACAAATGAAAAAGAAGGCATCAAGTACATTGAGCTGACCATCCTACAGGAAAACTGACATTTCTTGCTGCTCTCATGAAAAGAAGGAAATTGTGTGACTCAAAAGTTCACTGTACTTGTTGAGATCGTGCTGATTAAAGATAAACCTTGATCCCATATCTTAAACCAATTCACCGTTCTCTTTGTGTATGTGTTTCCTTTACTCCTGTGCCTTTTCATGTCGAGACATAAAACCCCTAAAAATATATAAAAAATTACTTTCTTCCCTTCAACGCGATTTTAACTGCGCGCTTTCCTTGAAAATTGTCCTTCCGTGATAGCCTTGTATTTCCTAAGTGAATATCTCCAAAGCCTTGCGTAGATCTGAAGAGAAAAGTCTTCTAGATCGGTAAATTAGCTGCTGCTAGCCTTCAAGACAGCTTTTGGAACTTTTGGTTTTTAGAAACGAACAACAGTTTAGGGCTTGTTTACATGGAGGTGGGGGACCCCAGGTAGGTGAGGTAACCCGCCTGTTCATATAATTTCTTATTTTATTTTGATCACATTTACATGATAGGTGGGGTGACCCGCCTAGGCGGGTTGCCCTGTCTGCCAGGTAGGGTAACCCTGTCAGCCGGGGTGACAATTTGCCATGTAAACGTGTCAATGCAAGATGGGGTAACCCACCGACCCGGGGTCGCGTTCATGGCAAAAAGCTCAAAAGCGAAACATGTAGCCTAGCCGTCTCATGGCAGAAATCACCAGAAAACTGTAACGGACACACAAGGAGTGTAAAGTGTTCACATTTCGGAATATTTAGCGTTGTAAATCGACCATATTTGGTTTCCCAAACTATTCCGTATAACGTAGTAAGTCAACAGTTCCTCGCGAAAGCAAACACCGCGTAACACAACGCGTGACACTTTCATGAATAAATACATATGTGTCCGAGAATTAGTCTTTCGTCTTTTTCGAGATGTGAGCTTGGGACGCCTCTGCTAAAACTCTTTAATTGTAAGCGCAACAACAACCTCGAGACACCTCACCCCAGCACCCCAGGGTTGTAAGATTGCATGTAAACGCGTTTTATTTTTTGCAATGTAAACAGGCCCTTACTTGTAATTAGAGGTTAGAAACGAGCGACGCTTCTAGAGTCGTCACTGTAACATATAGAGAATACTGTTGTCTCGGTGTACACGGATTTGATGTAATTGTGGTCATGTATTTCAATTCACACCATTTAAACGTTTTCTGTGTAGTCAAATTCTTCATGGTCTCCAACGAAGGTCGCGTTCGATACGAATCTTTGGTTCTTTTCGATTCGATTTCTTTCATGGAACTCAGGCAAACCGACATTGAGATTATTGTGGAAATGAACACCGCTATTTGAGTGATAAAGATTTCTCAGCAAATTTTAAGCGTATAAGCCTGATCTTAAACGTAAGTTTTTTCTTTTGTTAACTCACAATAAGGCCTTCGGCGACATTACTCGGGACTTGGGGCGAAATGACTAAAGCTCATAGGAGATAGTTACTACTTCAGGTGAGATGACTTTCGGGCGACATGAGAGGTTCCGGTCAGCGGATCACAATTTTGGCGGGAACTATAGTAAAGGTTGTGCTTCTGGCTGATCGGTTGTTCGGAAGAGAAAAAAATGTCGTCTGCAGCAGCGATTTCTTCTGTGGTCGATGAATCTGCAAGAGACGAACCTGCTCCGTTTGATGAAGATGATCCTTTTGATTTGCCACCTCCTTTACCACCGCTTTCTCCTCATCGCGACGAAGACGAAATGAACCAAAATGGCGACGCAGATGGAGATCAGCCGGATGAAGGGGAAGGAGGCAAGAAAGAGTCAAACGCGAAGCGGAAAGTAAAGAGATCGCCGAGGCCGAAGCTAGACGAAATCAGGTAGAAAAAATACACTAAAATTAACAAAGAGAATAGATTGACTCGCCATCAAGTTCTTTGCAATTCCGTTAATAGATCAGCCCACCGTGAAATCGCAATTGACCAGGATCGAATTCTCACAGGGCTCTCGGATTATTTCATTTGACCCACGCTCTTGTAAAATGCTCATAATATGTCTTTGATATCTGAAATATTTGACAAGTATCTCAGAATAGAAATACGATACGCCGATAATTAATTGGAGCTAAGGCAATATGAAGACATGGAGTATGAATGAATGTAGTTCAATTTTTTTCATTAACCCCTTGTAGTATCCCACTACATATAAAGCAGAAGATTGAAGAACTGATTTTGTATGACATAAAATTGTGAATTTTGCATTGTAGAGCTAAGGAACTTGAAACTTGATTTATTTGATAACCGAATTGTCACAATTTGATTGCCTTTATGTGCTGCAAGTGACCTTTTGAAGAACCCAGTATGCAGAGTATGGCAAAACTCAACAACATTTTACATGTGTAAAGACGAATCTTAGGTGTAACATGTACAGACAGATAAAGAACTTATACACACTAGTGTATATGGCCATGAGTGACAAATACCCCATCCACACTGGCAAAGTTAAACTGTGTTTAACTGAATGAAATCAGAAACAGAAAACTAAAACATTTCCATGGGTACTGACAAGGAGAATTTTTTGAACAATCAAAGAGCTTCTTAGATTAACAATCATTTCATTTATTCTCGTGATCTTAACACATGAGCCAGCAGTGATGCTGGAAGGCAAAACAAGATGCTGGTCACTCTTGCAGTTTAAAGGGTTATTAGTTGTTTTTGATCTAATCATTATTGAAATCTTCTAAGTAACCTTTACCAGAGGAAACAAAACATTTTAACCTTTGTGGCTCTTACTTTTGGATTTTTATAGGAGCCTAACAAATATATATATATTTTTTTTGCAGGTTGTGCAGTGACCGTGGTCTTCCAGCTTTAACCCACCTTTGTGATGGAGTCAAGTTCAAAGGGAAAGGTCATGAGGTACACATGATCTGTAAACTTATGATCTGCTAGAGTGGTAGAGTATTGGAGCATTGAGTGCAGAAATGCTAGGATGATTCCTCATAGGAATTTAATTTTTTTTCTTTGTTCCATGCTTGTGACAAGATGAATATCAATTTTCTTTGAGAAAAAACTAGTCAGTATAAACTATAAAGTGGGAGACACTGGCCAAATGGTTTGTGTGTTGGACTTGAGGTCAAGAGGCTTGGGTTTCAGACCTTGCTGAGTCATTATGTTCTGTTCTTAGGTCAAACCCTTTTACTTTCACAGTTCCTCTCTCTGCCCAGGAGAGTAAATGGGTACCAGGGAATTGTCAGGGGGTAACCTTGCATGGACTGACATCCCATCCAGGAGGGAGTAGTGATACTCCCAGTGGCTTCATGCTAAGGAAACTAGAATACGTTTCAGCTGGATGAGCCACTTGGCTTGAGTACAGACTTCATCTTTTACCTTTAAACTATGAGCAAGTTTATTTTAGTCAACTTAGAGCCCTTGGTTCTTTCAGGCCTCGGATCTGAAGCTACTGTTGCAGCGTTATGAATACTGGGCACATCGCTTGTTTCCCAAGTTTCCCTTTGCAGATGTTGTTGATCAAGTGGAAAAGTTGGGCAATAAAAAGCTAGTTCAAGTAAGAATTTATAAATATAGTCTCACTTTCCAGGATCAGAAGAAAAGTTCATCTTTATCTTGTCTCTAAATCTGCCCACATTTGAAATGGGAATATGAGGTCACAGGTCAGAGGTTGTGCTGGTATGTAACCTTAATGAATTGGAAATAGCAGCCAACCTTTAATGCAAACCACCCTCCCTCTTACCAAGTAACAATACTTACTGGTAAGTCTGTCTTTCAAATGGTACCAGGGATACTTAGATCATTAAAATTAACCAGAGTGCAAAACTGATATGATAGATTGCAGTACTTTTTTAATCTAGCCATTGAAATGTTCAGTACAAACCAATGGTATGTCTACATGCTTTTTGACTGGTGAGGCTTTCACAACTAGGGTTTTGGTGATCACAGTTATGCATAGTCTCCACACTGTTCTCTGTACAGTACTTGTGGTTCTGACAAGGAGAGTTTGTTTAACAATCAAGAGCTTATTCATCTGAGTTGCTGATTTATCAAAAGGAACATGTTTTGTCATTAACTGTAGAACTGTATCAAGAGAGTCAGGCGAGGTGAACATGACACAATTGATGATGGAGAAAAATCAGATACAGAGCATGATGCACAAGAGAGCGGTATGAGCATTATTACCTTGTACTAAACACTTTATTCAATATTCCTCTACCAAGGAATTAACACGTTTTGCCCAAGGACTTTTACTCTGATCTCCTTTATGGTTATAGCTCAGTCTTGTCACACAGCTCATACTCTCCTGTGTTGTGTGACAAAGCTAAATATCTGCTTCAGACAAGTCAGACATTGATTATTCTGGATGATACATAAAACTTTCTAATTATTGTCATGTTTTAATTTGTCAGTGGGAGACAAAGTGTTTGGGTGGTTAGTCCACTGGACTCTGGGGAGAGAAGTCTGGGTTAGAGACCTGGGGGGGGGGGGGTTAATTATGTTTGTTCTTCAGTGAAACACTTTACTCTCCCCATGCCTCTCTCCACCCAGGACCCAGGAATATAAATAGATAGCAGTGAACTATCAGGGAAGCCTGTTGAAATGCTAGGGACTGACCTGGGAAGCAGGGGTTGGAAATAGTGATACTCAACTCTGGAAACCAGGACAAGCTTTGGCTGGATGTGCCACTTGGCTTCAGTACAAAGTTTGCCTACCTGACTATAATTTGGATATTAAAATATTCTTTTATTATTAGTAGTATCCAGGGATGATGGAACACAGTCACAAGTTCCTGCTACTCCTGTTTCAAACAATGTATGTATAGAAGGTCAATTTGTCATCTTTTATCTCCTCCACAAGTCAAACCTTTATACCCTAACATCAGTTTGCATATTCTCCATAATGTATTCTGTACATTACCCAAAAAGTACATTTTCCGAAGGATGAATTACAACACGTAATTAACATTTTTTTGAAACATTTTCTAATTATTTCAGGTTCAACCATTTGGTGTACAAGTTGAGCCAAGAAACGGGATGGTAAGTTAAGAATTGTTTTTCATTATGACAATTTTCCTCAGCTTTGTTTTTCAGCTGATGCACATTAGCTTAATGCAAACTTCTTATTCATTTTCTGCCTTAAAGGTCATTTTGACTCCTGAACAACAAGAACGGATGCGTTTGAATAGAGAAAGGGCATTGGCAAAACGCAGAGCTGCTCAGGAGAATCAGACTGCTCATGAAAACACTCAAATAAGTAAGTTTTACTCTTGAAGGGATTTCAAATCAAGTTATGAACTACCTTGTCACTCACGTGAAAATTACTGAATGCTGATTGGCCCAGACGGAGGGTATTTTTTTCACAGACTGAGGTAATTCTGGAAAAAATATCAAACCCTCAAAAATAGACAAACAAACAAACAAACAAGAGAAGTCTAGAATCCCAATATTTTCAACTTTTTCTTGATAAGTCACAGTATACCATACTTTTTGTGGACATACCAGTGAATTTTACTACAGTTAGAACCTTCTGGTTCAGGCACTAGAAAGTCGAAATCAAAGGCCGAAGTGGTGAATAAATGACTGAAGATGTATGAAAATCATATATGTGAACTGCGGTTGAAGAAACGAATATGGAAGCGATCCTTGCAGGTATTAACTCTACCTTAGTAGTAGTGAAAATAAGGCCTGAAAAGAATTCAGGCCCATACGGGATTTGAACCCATGACCTCTGTGATACCGGTGCAGCGCTCTACCAACTTAGCTAACAAACCATCTGTCATTAAGATGATTTCAAAGAAACCCTGGAATTGGTGAACCCACAAAGACAGATACTTTTCGTGGGACAAAGAAAAAATTATAGGTCCTTAGAGGAATCGAACCTCAGACCTTTGGATTCCGCGCTCCGATGCTCTACTACTGAGCCACAGAGACTCTATGGTGAGCGGGGTATTTTTCAGAACAACCACAGAAAACTAAACTCATAGTGTCCACCTTGAGTGTTGATTACATGTTTTTATTCCCTGATAGATGACCAGACAACCGTCATCGAGGAACCTTCGTCATCTAATGAAGTTGTGGAAACTGCCAAAGACGTTGACAGCAGAACAGGAAATGTTGGAGTGGAGAACGATTCTTCTGCGCAAGCAAATGATATTGAAATGTTTGATAATCAGGTGGACGTAACTGTAGATGTTTCGTTACCTGATGACAGAAGTTTGGAGTCAGCTGATGGCGCAGGAATGGGTTGTGAGAACAAGAATGTCAGAGAGGAAGATATTGAGATGGAAAATGCTGAAACAACAACGAATCTTGAAAATAGCAGCGATATAGCTAAAAATCGAGAAAACTTTCCCACAGTGCAAGATACGAATGTCAGTAAAGGCATTAAAGAGAATGACTTGTCGATCTCTGTCAACAAAGGAGATGCAGATTCAGAGACTATCTTCCATGAAGACGAAACAACTTCCGCTTCATGGATGGAGGATATCCAGCGAGAAGGGGCACATGAAACACCTGAAACGCGGCCCTCAGAGCAAGGCCCCGCTGAAAACGGGCTTGATGGGGATCAGAACACGGAAATGGAACCGGAATCATAGATTTGAATTTCTAAATGGATATAAACGGAAATCCTCTATTATTTGTTCGTCTTAGAGTAAGAATGTCCTCTGGGTTTGTCTGGGAAGCTCAAACAGAATAGTATGTAACAGGATACCCGTATTTGAGTAAGTTTTTTAAAATACTTGAGTTTTTCTGTTCCCGACTTTAGGTCCTTTTACAGATATCTGTGAACGTTTCGATTTTAAGTCGCTTATTTTGCGCAACAGCGGTTGTTTCTTATATGTTTCCTTTGAAATTTTGCGCGGGAAACTAGTGCGCGGCCGACGTTTGACCGCTCTGTTGCTCAAGACCACGTAACATGCGCATATTCTATTCAGCAATGACCACTGGTGTAGCTACATGTCTCCGCCTTAATCTGCTTCGTGGGTACTATTTCTAAAACTAATCGCTGCGGTTCACGTTCTTCCCGTGATCGAGTTACGGGGACAAAGTTATGTTGCAGGGATGATGAAAGGCATCGCGTCACATCGCCGGCCGATGTTTCTCGACCTTTGTTTGAAATTCCCTCGATCACATTTATGCAAGGGATTTCCCCTCCCCTTCTCTAACCTTCCCGCGATAGTATTTTCTACTTGCGCTTATGCCTCCGTTTTGCGTGAGAACCATCAAGTTCGCGAGACCTTCGCATCGTCAACTATGGGGGAAGTTCATTTTTGTTCATTGTGGCTGCGTAGAAAAATCGAAATATATTAGAAACCTTTAATACCACGCAAATTTCATTTCCGACAATTGTAACGTCTTAGTTGTTTGTACCGCTGTGAAATTGTTAGACAATAATAACCTCATGACTACCAATTAAATATGTAATTTTCTTCTACGTCTTGATTCATGCTTGGGCGTTAGTCAGGGTCGTTAATCTTTGCAGGTGTTTACTGAACGCCTTTCACCTCAACATCATAGACGTGGGCTTTTCCCATGGAAATTACAAGTAGAATTTGTCTAATATGCGAGTCCTTGCATTCGCAATCATTTCCTTTATTCTCAGTACCTTAATGTTTGATTCAGGGTTGATACTGTTGGAAGAAATTAGATGGTGATCTTTCCTAGGGACTTAAGGGTTGAGAGTCGATTCCTACGTAGGTTGCCAGGCACAGTTAGATTAGATACACCTTTTAGTAAAATCTTTATTGTGTGTCAGAATTCTTGAATACTCTTCCACTCTTGTGTTTGATAATAATATTAAATATATATCAGCCCTTAGAAAGCACTTACGGTGATATTGGTCAAATATCCCCCAGTTTAAATTGAAATAAATACAAAACAGAACCCGTTACGACTGGCTTAAATTAAGGCCTTAATAAACCACGTACCATTTGCAAACAATAGTGTAACTGGCAGGACATTGAAAGGGTCGAAAAGAATCCGTCAGGGGTTAATGTGAAGAAGTTTTACGACGACGAGAAAGATCGGAGATGACAACACCGACAGAAAAAAACAAAGATGCCGTAAGGTGACCTGTAATTTTTAGAGCTACTTGAGGAAACTCCAAGTTTTCTGGAGTGAGTAAGGGTGTTCTCAGTTCTTTTACATCATTGGTGGCAGATTTGTTGAAGATTATAAAGAATAGCATAGAATCTTATGGTATTTTTAAAATCTATTTAACCTGATATAAGTACCCCACGTTACAAACGCAAACCGTTAAATTTTGAAAGAAAAAAAAGACTAACCGAGCCGCTGGGTACCATTACCCGCTTATTTTCTGATGTAAAAATATTCTCTGTTTCCTCATTTAGGCCCAGTAACTGACACGCTACCTGTCACACATAAGTCACGCTTCTAAAAAACACGCCACGCTGCTAAAGCGCCGTTGTCATAATCACCAAAGACAAACAGTGCGACAAATTCTTCAGCAAGAACAACACAATGGAAAACTGAACAAGATTTTTTTGTGAAATAACCACACTTAAATGACTGTTCTCAAAGATCGTGACTTAACATCGATCGGATCTGAAAGCTCTAAGTTGTAAAAACGAAAGTCTTTAGATAAATATCTTCCTTAGAAATAACTAATATCAAAGCAAAAAGCTGGTTTTGTAACCCTGCTGACTATAATACAACTCATTAACTATAATTATAAACTTTTCTGCAACATTCAAAGATTACCTACGTGCCTCACCCTGCGTTTTTCGCATTAATGGTTCACTAATGATTTTAAACACAACTATTAGTGTTTTAATAAAGCACATTTAATATACTATAGGTGACCCAATAACTCGAATCAGATCAGAAATACGGAGTATGAAAAAAAACAACAACAAATGAGAAAATTTTGGACCAAAAATTACTTAACCTTACAAGTTCAATTCAAGTAAAAAACGAAATGGTGGTATTTTATATTCATTATAGAGGAAGATTTTCTTCACCAAACCAAGCAACAGATCTCACAAAATTTTGTACCGCACTTTGACAGAATTTGGAGTTATTGCGAGTAAAATTGTACAGGACCTGAAGGGTAAAATCTTTCCGAGTTGACAGGATTTTGATCTCTACTGGTTTTGAGTTTTTCAATGTAATAAGTTGCGATTAATCTGTACATCTAATTCAGGCAAATTAAATTTTGGTTCAGATTAGCGGGAGATTCGAGTTACCAGGAGTCAATTGAGGTTCAGGTCTTTAAATAGAGCTGAGCATTTTCCCACTATTTTAGTTTTAACCGAAAAATGATTGTAAATCTTCCAAAGGCAAACCATTCCATAAAACACCAGAAAATTCTCGGGGAGGGGAAGGAATGCTCTGTCGCAGAAAATTTAGCCAAATAATGTTACAAGCATTTGTGATAACCTTACTGAGAACGTATATTGTTTATATTGTCAACATGTTTGAAAAAAAATTTAAGGAAAAGATGAGTGACCTCATTTTGTTAGCGATGTTCCTCCATGGAAGGTCCCTGTGGCATCCAATTCTGATCGCCGTAACAGGAACTTATATCACGCGAGTCCTTCCTGTAATATCCGCGCTCTATGAACCACGAATCTTCGCCCTTCTGACGCTCAGTTTCACGTCCTTCTGCACGCCGGGTATACCAAGGTACATTGTTCAACCTCTGAAAGGCACGATCGTGCGCTCGATCGAAAAACCACGACGGATCTAATGGACCTTTGTAAGGCTTGCGCTTCGTATCACAAGGAAACCAGGACTCGTATTTGTCGGTGCTTCGTTGGAAATCTCGATCTTCTGCTCGGCGCTCATACCACGGCTCAGACCGCTGATGGGTGCGACCTTTGGCGCGCTCAAATAACCAATTAGGAGGTGGAACGGACTCAACTGTCTCGGAATCAACGGAATTGCTTACTTTGTCTTCTTGCATGTCGGTATTTCGCCTATTCTTTCTTTTCTTTCCTTTGCTTGACTGAGTGCGATACACTTCGTCGGACAAAATCGGTCCTTGAGGGGATAACTTCTCCTGAGAATTTTTTGGCAGATTAAATCTCTTTTCCAACCACTCTTCAACTGACAACCCAATATCTTTTGGTGGAATTGGGCCTTCGGATGAAGATGTATCTAGGGAAACTTTCCTATGATTCGCCTCTTCGTACGAAAAATCAGACCTTACTTGGCCATCTTCGCCAGAAATCGGACCTTGCGGTAACTTAACATCACGCTTCACAGTATTCCTATTCCTATCCTTCCACCACTTATTATCACGTGGCCGTTTCGGCTTTTCATCGGTTCGCTTCGGTTTCTTAACGGAACTCTTCGGACCTTGTCGTGACTTCTTCTTTCCAACATCGTAAGTCGATTCTTCAGAAACTATGACGAAGGCCGTCTCTGTGGTTTTGTCCGAATCATCCGAAGTTTTTTCCGCGCGTTTTGGTTTAACATCTCCCTTAAGCAACATTCTCAACATAAGATCCATGTCGAACGTTAAGTTTGTAAAACCAGCAAGCGCTTTATGCTCAGGTACCACTGCTATTTCTGACTTCTTAACTTCTTCTGGCATCTTGCGTTCTTTTTTGTTTCCCTTCTTCTCAGTCTTCGAAAATATTTCTTTTGCCTGGACTCTTCCATTTTCCCAATCGCATCTTTCGGTCGATTTCTCTCTGTCTTTAGTTCTCTTGGCCTTTGCCGAGTTCAAATCACGCATGTTAAGTTCTTTTTCTTTACTATCTCCTGCGTCGTGGTGTGTTCCAGAAGTCTTTCCTTCGTTGCTTCCAGCATCAAAATATGGCTTTATCAAACTCCACGGCCAATTGATCGTTTTTCCTGGCTGTTCAAGAGCTTTCTTGGGAACATCACTTAACCACTTTCCAACATCTTCTAACTTTTTCCTAAAAGACACTTCGCCATCAGTCCACGGCCAATGACCCTGTCCTTGTTGGTGTTCAATGGCACTGTTATGAACATCGGACAACCACTTCTGAATACCCTCCAACTGCTTTTTAAAGGACCCCTCGCCATCGCTTCTTTTTCTTTTTTCCTTGGTATTTTTTGGACGTGACGCTTCTTTTTTCACGTTATCAGACCGCATCTTCCATTCTCCTTTGGAAAATTTACTCTTTGCACCTTCTCCCTTTGCCCTCCGTTTTTCTTTATCATATTCAACTTGCTCAGCGATAACAGAGTCATATTCTTTTTTTCGCTTCCTTTTCTTCTCATCCTTTTCCACTTTGATCCTCAGTTTTTCGTTGGCCCGTTTTCCCGTTCGTTTCCTTCCCTCCTCTTTGACCTTCCAAATCTTTTCCTTGCTTTCTAAATTTTTCCTCTTACGGGGCAGCTCTTTGCTCCGTAAGTTTTCTTCCTCCTTAGCCTCAATCTCAACTTCTTTGGGTACCCTTCCATCATTTTCCACGGTCTTTCTTAAATCTTGCCCATTAGTTTTGTCGTCTACGGATTCATTTCTTAGTTCATCTTTATCTTTTAGTTTTTTACTCTCCACTGTACGCCGAGTGTTTTCTTCCTTTTTCCTCCGCTTTTCTTTGTCGAACTTGGCTTGCTCTTTGACAACAGAATCATATTCTTTTTTATGCTGCCTATCAGCTTTTTCTCGTTTCTTCCTCGCCTTTTCGTTTTGTTTCTCCTTCTCCTGTCTTTTTATGTTACGGAGCTCGTTTAACCATTTTTTATACTCTTCTTTTGCCGCTTTCTTCAAGGAC